GCCGCCACTGGGCAGGGCAAACACTGGCGCCGCCGGCGCCTGAGGGATACCAAAGGCACCGCCCTCTGGCCCTGTGGGGTGGGGGGCCTGGTTTGCCCCCTCACTCAAAAACAAGTTGGTATGCCACTGGAGACCAATTATGTGTTTTAAGATGACATGTTGGGCTAGTTGATTACTCATCACTAAATAATACGCCAAACAAACACGGACACTCAAAGGGATATCTGGACAGGGAGCAGCTTAACTTTCCACTCAATGGTTACTCTTATATAACTTATACTGTAAAACCCTTAATGTTCGCAAGCCCTTAATTTCCGCGAATTGAAAAATTCGCAAAATTTAAATGCACGCGAAACTTTCGATCTTCAAAGGTTGACGTACACTTTGCGCTTTCCACTTTTGCCCGACTTCTCCGTTCCTGTATCCTCTCCACTTTTTACCTTGTCGCAACTTGCCTGCCCTCACAGCTTAGGAGAGGGCGGCGCAAAGAGGGTTATCTTCCTTGTAGAAAATTGAGGTTGTATGTCAACCTTTAAGAGTTTCAATGCAGGCGTCTGGAATTCGCGAAATTTAGTGGCCGCGATTATGTACTTTTTGACCAAGTCGCGATAAATAGGGGCCACGGAAATAAAGGGTTTTACAGTGTATATTTCTTCCAAAATAACATTCAGTTGAAAGTTACGCTGCGTCCTGTTCAGAAGAAAACAAAATTGATCTCTTGATTACTATATGTTTCAAATTTTTTAAGTCTATTTTCTGCATTTTTATAGGGGCTGCATCTTTGCCTTGTTTTTTCCCTCAGTAGATTTTTTTATGAATGTTTGTCCTGTTTTACAGGTTGACAAGTCTTCCATCCAAAATGGTGGTGATCTGGTTGCTGATGTTCTAAAGGTCAGGACTTTATCTATAGACCTAGTACTTTGGTTTTGCTGGAGAATGTTTTCATGCTGATTGCCAAAATTTCTGTCCCGGTTACAAGCCGTGTTTGTTGAACGTTAATTGCACTAAAATAGACATTTGGTGACCTACCAGAGACATCATATCTTACGTTGGTCACTTGCACTGCTACCGACCTCCGCTGTGCTTGTTGTGTTTAGATGCTATACATGCCTTGCACGTGATGCCATATGGCACTATACCAGCTGCCATTAGTCCATATCTTGCTCCTATGCTTATGCCTTATGCAGCATACATTTCGCACCTTCGAATTTGTCTTCTCGGCAAGGCTTTCGGAGAAGAGCATATTCTATGATGCCAAATGTATGCCGAAGAAGGTACGGGCAGAGGGGCATAGTACGGAGCAATGGCGGCTGATGTGGCGTCAATGCAAGTCATGCATTAAGATACGGGTTCCTAGGTGCTGCGGCTGCACACTTTCTGGTCACATATGGTACCAGTCCTCTTCCTTTGCCGTATTCATGACTCCTACACATTGGTTTGCACCCTTGATTTGCGCACTTACAAAAAACGATAACTAAAACAGTAATAATAGTCGTTAAACGAATTATTAATGACTCTTTCCCACTTGACCCCAAAAAATGTATTGGACAACCAGAAAACAAAAAGGAAAAACTGTTGGTTTATTTATACTCCCCTCTTCCCCCCAAGAACCGAAACAAAAAGCTCAAACTAGCTATACACGTTTGCAAGTCCGGTCTCAGGGCACCGCCATCTTGCTCAGTCGGGTGCGCTTGGATGCTGCCATAATCCGATTACGAAACCTTGCGAATGCATTGTAATTGGATTATGGCTGCACCCAAGCGCACCCCACTGAGCAAGGTGGCGGCGCCCCGAGACGGAACTTGCAAACGTGTATAGAAAAGAAGCAAAACAAAAAGGGGCAGGATTGCACTGGGGCCCAGCACACAGCCAACTCAGGATGCGAAAAAAAACACAAAAAAAACCCTATGCAATGTGTGAACGCAAAGGGACAGAATCGACAGGCATAGTCACACACAAAGCGCAAAGTTTGCAAAAGTGGGGAAAGTTGGTGACGCCGCTTCAAGGTCACTCGAGCCCTCCTACACAGAAGGTTAATACCACACAGGGAAAAAAACAATAAGGGCCCTCTTCATCGTAGAAGGAAACACAATTAAGAGGAAGCACCAGCAAATTTTGAGTGAGAGCTGACACACCTTTACAACAGCAGTTTTTCCTTCACAATAGACCATTTGCATTAGACCGTGACGTAGTGCATTCTAATCTTTTCTAACTGGCCCACTGGTGCCACCTGTCGGGTAAACCTGGACATCACTTCCTACCTCTTTGTGACTGGTCTGAAGGTTTCTCAGTATTTGCAAGATCAGATCTATGCACTGTCTATGAGAAGTAGTCACTTATAACTTTGTCAGAAATATTTGAAGCCCATGATGAAGTGATTCCTAATAAATTATAAAACTATGTACACTCGACCACACTCAAATGCAGATGTGTGAACCAGCCTTTTGGGAAGCATGTGATTTGGAGTCCTTAAGAGTTAAACGACTGGCCATCTGAAAGGGCCTGTATGTTTGTTCCACAGGCTCATAATGTGAAGTTCCTTTTCACGTTGAGCGGTGGCCACATCTCGCCCATCCTGGTGGCAGCGGAAAGGGAAGGCATTCGTGTTGTGGACACACGTCATGAGGTCAGTCATGTTCACTCTTGGTCTCGGGTGTTTAACGGTGCCTTAACAAAGGCCGAAGCGCAGAAGTTCGGTGTGTCAAGTCCCACCATCTTCGCATAGGTGCTGTTAACTCCCAAAGGTCTATTGTCACAAGCTCATGACAACAAGTGTGGCAGAGTCCAGAGAAGTGCAGGACAGTTCACTTCCGGCATCCGTTTTAAGATGGGCTGCCCTCGTAACTCGAATGCGGCAGTGTGCACCAAGTGCAGCATGTGCAGGAAGTGTAGGTAAATTGAACAGGCCTAATGATTAACTTAATTCTTATAGTCGTTGAAACTTCTGTTATTCCTAGCACTTTACAAAAGCTGTATATTTTTTTTTTATAGATTGCATAGATATTGTATCCTCCCTTTATTTCAACAAATTTGCCTACTGCCTATAAATGCAGAACCTGTAGGAGTTCTGTGACGTTTTACTCCGGAGTCCATCTGTGCAGTTATTTGCATATCTTAAAGCGATGACTAAATAGCACATTTCGTTTCCTTTATCTCAAGGATCAGAGCTACATGTTTATCACACCCCTTAAATCTGTCATTTGAGCATTTGCTTATATATCGGAATGCGGCCGAACCAACATTGTTGTTTTTTTGTTTTGCCGTGGGACAAGCATTGGCTTGACAACCAGGTTATACAATAAAAAGTTTACAACAAACATTTTACAAAATTCGGTTTGGCCACCTCAGCCACTATTATCACTAATGATGGCCCTCCGGTGGCTGATAAAGAAGTTGAAGACACGTCCCTAAGCAGATGCCTTCCAGTTCAAAGAGGCCTCTGCATTCAGGCATTAGAAAAATGCAGCACCCATATTTGACACAAGTACTGCATCAGCAGTCATTTCACACTCTGGTTCAATTAGTCTGCTGGCACAACCTCAGCTCGAAAGCCCCTTATTGTACCGTGAATTTTATGGACAGCTCTATTCAGGTCTTGTTCAGACGTGTTGTTCCTTTGTTTTCATTGAAGCGGATATGGATCGAGAGAGAACTGTAATGCATACGATGGTGACGGGGCCCACTGGTGTACTATATTTTTATGACCATTATAAGTGAGGCAAAAGTTTGACTGTTACTCAATCTACTAGTTGGCACTGAATTTCTAAAAGGGTGCACTGCTGCGTACCACGGCCCTTCATAAAATCTTTTCTATAGATAACAATCAATTGGCAATGCAGTATAACGTATGTTGTTTTTGTTTTCACTCTTTATACTGAAGGCACTGGTGCTTTGCAACAGGTGTCGGCGGTCTTTGCAGCTGATGCGGTGGCTCGCCTCTCTGGCAGCATCGGCGTGGCCGTGGTCACGGCGGGACCCGGTAAATACTCTGAACCTTTATTGCTCGCAATTGAAGATTGCAAGTAACTCTCACAATATCTGCTGGCACCCGCAAGAAACCGGCAGGTGTGGCTAAAAATCATTATATCTGGTCACCCATAAGCACAATTGTGGATGCAGACATGAAGTCTGCAGGTGCAGATTCATGTGCAAGTACCAAGGGGACCATCTGCACAGAGGTTTATGCAGCGCAATGAAATGGCTGTCAAGTGCGCACTGTGATTGGTTGAGGTCGGGGGGAAGATAAAAGCATGTTGGCATGTTTGGTGGGTAAACAGACGCACGAGTCACGCAAGGAGTGGACGAACTTGCATGCCCAACACTTATGCATGTACACGCGTCGCAGGCCTGACCAACACAGTAACGGCAATCAAGAACGCCCAGATGGCAGAGTCTCCCGTGCTGCTTCTCGGAGGTGCTGCCGCTACAGCTGTCAAGGTACCCAGCCTAGTAAACAGTGTTATAGTTTGTCGCTGCCCCTTATCTACAAGCTGTTCAGCCCAAGACAGGTTGTGTGCTAATTAAGGAAGTTTTTTTGTTTCTGCTACTATGTAGCAGCTGCATTGGAGCCTGGGAAATGAATTCCTAGGCCCCAAAGAACCCTTGTGTGTTCCCCAATCACCCCAATTTCCTCGACTGTCCCTGCTCCCAAGTGCATTGTTCTTCCAGTTTAAAAGCCGACATACAGTTCACGCCTTCCACTTTTGCCCGCCTCCTGCTTTTCCATATTCTCTCCACTTTTTACCTTGTCCCAACATGGCTGACCTTGCAGTTTGGGGGAGGAGGGCATTAAGGGGACTACCTTCCCTGCAGAAAAGCGAGGTTGTATGTCGGCTGCACGGTTTGAGCAGATCCAAGTCGCTCGTTGATGCGTAAGCATGACCCAAGCACTCCCTGGATAACCACATTATTTTTTGCAAGGTTTGCATGCTTGTGCTCTGGTTTATTGCCTGGAAACCTGATACCAGGGGCTTTAATCTGGACACTAGGCGAAAAAGTTGTTGAGGTATTCAGCAGCCGTGATTAGGGGGCCAATCGCGCCTGACCTCGGCGCCAGCCAATCACGATGGTCGAATTCCTCGCCGACTTTTTCGCCAGGTGTCCGGATTAGAGCCCAGGGGTATCCTTGGCTGCCATTGAAGGCAGACATTCCGGGTTCTTTGAGATTGAGAAGTCCTGCATTTGAAACCCTTCATTAGCATATTAGCAGTTTTATTGCACTGACCACGCCGTACGCTCTTGCAGCGTGAGAATAAGGCCGCCGCATGTCGAAGCAGGGTGACCTCTTGCATTACGTGCCTCGAGTAGCATGCGTTTCACCCGTCTCTTTTGGCAAATAGCAAAAAAATGTACTGCATCTTGTATGTATCCTTTCTTTCTAAATGCGACAGCATTTATAAGCGAACCCTACGCGCTTTCATGTTCATGTCTCGGTTTGTAACCAACGAAGCGGGCCGCACGCATCTGTTATATGCCTACTTCAATTATGCATTCCGGGGGGTAATGCACCCAATGGATGTGGTGTGATATTGTTACGGACGAAAAAAGGGTAGACGAATGTAAAACCGAAAATAAATGTTTAATGAGGCGACCTTGTGCCTACAAACTAAAGAGGAAAGCACCAGACATTTTGCTCCGGCGACTGTAGGTCGACTTTCCCGAAGCTGCTGTAACTGCTGGTTTTATACGTGCGGTGCGTTCCCAAATGTTCCGAGCCAGGACACATGATTGCAGCCGAGAATGAGCTGAAGCTTTCCAGGGACTATGGAATAACAAAAAAAAAAAGACATGCCGATCAGGGTTCGAACTTCGTTCCTCATCATGGTAGCTGGGTGTGTCGCCAGCTCTGCCACATACTCGGCAATATATTAGCTTCTGAATGGCAAATACAGTTATTGACGGTCTTATCGTGCTTATTATATATTAAGAGAGAAACATTTGAATTGCAGGAATGATGAAACAAAAGTCCTTGGTTAGTTGCGGGATGTAGACAGTTAGATTGGAAAGTTCTGTGAATTGGTTTTAAATGTGAAAAAAAGGCTTTGTGGACGTCGACGAAACATATTCCTAGAACTTACGCTGGACTTCCTCGGCAGTTTAATAAAAGAAAAATGTGCATACAAGGCTGGTCAAAATTTCATCGCACTTCAACGAGTCGGCGCAGAAATTTCAGCAGCAATTATTTCTCGTTTTCTGCTTTCAGGGGCGAGGTGCCCTGCAGGACATTGATCAGCTGTCGCTGTTCCAATCGCTGTGCAAGTTCACCGCCACGGTCAAGACGGTCAGGGACATTGTGCCCACGCTGCGCACTGCGCTGCAAAAGGCTCAGTGCGACACCCCAGGTGGGTCAGCTTTGGCAATGGCCAACCATAGCTTTCTCGTATGACAAAACATGATGCGGAAACCATTGCGGCCTTTCTCTTGAATGGAAACAGGTAGAAGTTGGGTCATCAATATCTCCTCTATGGGAAGGATCATTTTGTCCTTGTGAAATTCTTGTGATGTGTACATTGCTACAAAGAAACCATTGGCTGTGCACCCTTGGTTTCTTTTTGGTTTCTTTATTTGGCGAATTTTTGGCTTACGGCCCAATGTCTGTTCCACCCCTGGCGTTCCCAGTCAAATACATTAATTATCTATCACCAAGAAATAATCCTGCTTGAGTTCATTTCAGGAAGAGGGATCATATATTCAACTTTTTGTTTGCAAAAGATAAAGTTGGGTGGAGATTAGAAGCTTAATTTAGGCCTTACCAATGCTGGTTTTGTTTGTGCAAAAACTAGCAATTATTTGTAACTATTGATGGATTGATGGACACTCACATTGAAAAAGTCTCATCAAAAGCTAACAAAGCACTCTGGTACCTTAGAAGAAACATAGCTAGCGCCACACCGGAAATAAAAAATATAGCGTATAAAACATTGGTGAGACCAGTTCTCGAATATGCGAAAATTGTTTGGGACCCATATACCGTAATATCCCGAGTCATCGCCCACCCCCCTACCGCCTGAAATTCATTAAAAAAGTGGGGTGGGCCATGTCTCGGTGGGTGAGCACAAACACTTGAAAAAAGCGGAAAAAACCGCCTATTTTTCTCTGCGTATCTAGCGCTGATGCACAAGAGATACATCAAACTCAAAACTCTATTTAGTTTCATTGTTTTATAAAATAAAAAAAATGCTCACGAAAGAATATTTTACTATAGCGAAGTCCGTTGCTCGCATACGCGCTAGAAACACCGCCGATCTGCATATAGCGCGAACGTTTGTTCCGTGAAAGAATGTCACCACTATGTTCTCCTAGTTAGTAAAAAAAAAAAAAGAAAGAAAAGTCTACAAGAAAATAGAAAAACCGACCAGGCGCAACGAGCAAGCGAGCGAGCGAGCGGACCAAAGAAGCGACCAAGAGCAATGCTGGGAAAGCGGGAAAGCCGGCGGTCGCGTTGGCAAATACTTTGGCGTCGGGCCAAGTCGGGCGCCTTGTCAATTGCAAGCTCTTGCGCAACTTTCTTGTTTGGTGCGTACATACGTGCGTCCGTACATACGTGCGTCCGTGCACGGCGGGCTATCAATGCACGGTTGGGACGCTCTGCAAACGTCTGTGTAGGCCGTTCCAGCAAAGCTTTATTTACGCGTTGGCTTTGCCTAAAATATTGCACAACCGCGGTCGCGACGGGCGGGAAGAAGGAGCGGGTTCGCGGTGACCTTACTTTGGCGGAGACAGACTTTGACCTAACACTCTGCGGTTACGTTAACAAACTCTTATTTTGTTATCTCCATCGTTTTCTTTTCGCACGGATACACGACCACTTTGGGGTCGCTCACGGAGGAAATGCGTAAACAAAAAGAAGTGTCTTTCCCTCCTTCGTTTTACTTTGTCACGGACGTCCTCCAACTGTAAGGTCCGCGGCCGCGTCATTCGGGTAGGATGAGTCCGCGCTGGGGTATTTGAGGGGGTGGGCGATGACTCGGTGTTTTTTCGGAAATCGATATTGGCCCAAAAAATGGGGTGGGCGATGGCTCGGGGATGGGCGATGACTCGGGATATTACGGTACAAAAATCAATAATACTAGACTGGAAAGGCTTCAGCGGCTTGCTGCTAGATTCATCTTTAGTAAATATAGCCGCACAGATTCTCCCACTGAACTATGCTGCCGTGCCGAGCTCCCAGCTCTAGAATTAAGAACAAAGTGTGAACGTATAAAGTTTTTGTTCTTAATTTTTCATGATTTAATTTGCATAAAAAAATCTAATTACATGGACATACGCATGGGTGAATCCACAAGGTACCGTCATTCTATGTACATAAGAGAGCCGTCTGTTAGAAATGATTGCTTCAAATATAGTTTCTTTCCTAGAGCAATTACGGAGTGGAATGCTCTGCCAAGTCACCCTAACCTCAGTTAATGAGTTTGTTAAAAACGTCGAGAGCTTAGTACTTTGTCACGCGTCGTAAATGTTGATTAATCACGATGCCTTTCTAGTGTTCTACTCTTACCCTCAGAGTCCATTCCCATCATTTTTTTTTTTTTCACTTGTTGTGTTGGCGTTAATCTTTATAAGTACTTGATCACTTCGAATGCTGTATCATTGCCTATCTAGTCAGCAAGTTATATAATAGCATCTTTTTTTTTTTTTCGTGCTTTTTGTCGCAGCAGGTATTAGTAATCTCTGCCGCCGTTCTTTTTTTTTCTTCTTTTTTCTTATTGTGCATTGTTGTGTGCATGTATGTGATTTACAGCATTGTATTACCCACTCCTGTAAAAGCCCTGCCTAGGGCTGACAGTATCAATAAATAAATAAATTTAAGCAGTGTTTTGGGCTGTGGCTTCTATACCTTGTCTTTCTGCAAATGTTACCTTCAAGGTAAGGTGCCAGCCTTCTGCAGTCGCAATCTTTTGCTCAGTGCTGAGAACCATGCATCAAGTCCGTTTTGGCTTATGTATCTGCTAGAATTAGGGGACGGATGGGCTGCTTGCGGCTGGTTCGATTTCCTTTCGGCTTCTGTCCAGGGCCTGTTTTTGTGGAATTGCCCATTGACGTGCTGTACCCCTATGCCATCGTCCAGTCCGAAGTTGGCTTCAAGGGATCTCCCAAGGGCTTTGGCCAGAAGCTCGTCAAATGGTGGGAAGGTCCTCTGATTGATTTATCAGATGAGTTGGAACATAGCTTAATTTCTAGCAAACCTTAAACGCTGACCTGAAGTTGTAAAGACGGTGAGAGGGGCTTTCCCCTTTTCTGATAGTGGCAGGCAAGTGAGTCAAATTCAGGGACTAGCCATTGGATCCATGGAGTTCGAGGACTATTCTTCAAGTCTTTAGGACTATATTGAGTCGAAAGACTGTTCTTCAAGTTCTTAGAACTATCCGTTGAATCCAACTTTAAGTCCTTGGGGCTATCCATTATTAGCTCTTTAAGGGGAGACACTGCCCAGAAAAAACAATTTCTGCAAAAAAAGTTGATTTTGAAAAACAACATATTTACATCCACCAACATCTAGAGAGTATTCCTAAAAAGTTTAATTAATTTTCACTGCATAGTTAATTTTTTATAAATTATTTTCTGTCCACCAAAGCTAAAGAAAAGGTAGGGTTTAGAGCACTTTGAACGCATTTTTCTCCATTCCACTTTTTAGTATAAATTCCATTTTAGTCAATCTATCGTTTGATAATGACAAAACAGGGAAGGCTCATTCTTCCCTTTTCCTGACTGAAATTTAATAAGGAATGCGGCTATGGAACTTTTTTGTCACTTAACGAATGTCTTTTATAAAAAATGTTGACATTTTGTCGAGGACACAGAAGACCAAAAAGTTGACCAATTTTGCAGAAGAGAAAATTTATAGAAATAAATTACTTCTTAGAAAAAAACGTTCCATAGCCGCACCCTCTAGGCATTCTGCTACATATCTAGTGAATAAAAATCTTGAATATCGTGATAGTTTTCTGACGATAGATTAACTAAACAATGTAGGCGTGTTGCTGATGGAAGCAACTCTAATTTCCTTCTCATTTAACCGACAGACCTGAAATTTTGTTATACACCCTCTAGCATGACCACCAACCTACCCTGTAAATTTCATTAATTTTAAGACAAGGGTTCAAAAGTTGACCCCCCTAGGGGGTGTGTCCCCTTAAGGGGGGACACTACCCAAAAAAGTAAATTTTTGAACCACTTGTCCGATTTAAATTATATTTACAGGGCTTGTTTCTGTTTATGTTGAGAACATTTCTGCCAATTTTTGTTAACCTGGGTGAAGTACAAAAAACATTGCAAACATTCAAAGACGAAAGTGGGCGTGTCTGCGTAGGGAAACTATCGTTTTGAAATTACTTATAAATTTGTCGTTTTCATGTGTTACATTGCATAAGGACAGTTCAGAGCAGATAACTATGGAGCTATATTTCTATATTATGCCATCTTTCATGACAAAAAAGCCACATAAACACAAATACAGTTTTTTAGATTTCCATCCTTTGTCCAAACTTTTAGTTCTTGAGCATGAAAAATCACAAAAATAAAAAATACAAGCTCATAGTTATCTTCCCCTTAAAATTTCAACCCAGAAAAATTCATAAAAATGAATCCAAGTTGCGTAATAACAAAACAATAGTTTTCCTAAAGTGAAATTTATGCCAAAAAGTAGAATGGAGAAAAATGTGTTCAAAGTGCTCCAACCTCTGCCTATTCTTTAGCATCGGGCGACCGAAAGTAATTTATAAAAAATTAACTATGCAGTGTATACTAATGAAACTTTCTGGGAATACTCTCTAGATGTTGGTGGATGTAAATATGACATTTTTCAAAATCAACTTTTTTTTGCAGAAATTGTTTTTTCTGGGTAGTGTCCCCCCTTAAAGGGGCTACAAAGCAAAGAATGTGAATAAATCGTGATTTGCCGTCACGGGTTGCCATGGGAACTGGCGTGGTGCCAACCTGGGTGCATTGTAATAAGTTGGCAAGATGTGTTATTATGTGCTCTATCTAAAGCTATCTTTTATAAATACTGTCATTTCAATGTGAGTTCAGTTTGAGTGGCGCCAGCTGTCCGAGGTGAACAAAACCATTCTTCTCTCGAGTCTCGCCTCTTCGCTACTACAGTGTAGACCGCATATAACGTATGTCGCGGGAGTCGTGAAAACCCGCACTATAAGGGGTACCGCGCTATAACCAAAACATCAATTTTTCAGGCCAAAATACATGCCATCAAACAATTTACCTTTGTAAAAGAATTTATTTTATGTTAGATGAAAAATAAAGCTTAGTTTGAGGAAAGTCATCTTTATTTCATCAGACTAGTACACTTCTCTCTCAAGTGTGTCACACATTTTGAAAGAAATGAGTGACTTTTACCTGGCGCAGCCTTTTAACGACGTTGCGGGTTGCGGACGGACGTTGCGAGCGTTCAGGATTGCTAACCCTAATCACTTTTTTCCAGCGATGAAAACGCGTGAAAATTCGCATCCTTTATACGGTACGCGCCAGTAATATCTTCAACTTGACCACACGCATGAAATGCTCCAAATAAGAGATCCGGGCGATGTTTGAAAACACAAATGCTCTGAAAGCACCACTGTAGTCGAAGTAAACAAACACGACGACACGGGCGTTTCTGCCGTCCTGAGAGTGCCGCCACAACATCGCCGCACGGGTAAGTGGATCTTCTCTTCTAGTACGTGCTGGGTTATCATAGCGACACACAACGAAAATTCACAGTCAAGGATAGCGCTTTTACCGGACCGATGAGCTTCCACCACGCCATAGTTCACTTTAACGCCGTCTACGTTGACGATCACAACCGACGCCATGTTCGCGGATAGAAGCAGCCGGCCCGCGACCGGCATGCAACGTGCGCGAACACTTCTCCTCGACCTGCGATTGGTCTGTCGTTGCGGTTTTGTTTCCAACGCAGCAGAGGGACGCACGCACGTGAACGACACGTGCGTGTGTCTCTCCGTCGCTATGGCAACTGAAGCCTCTATCTTCGCTTCTCCCCGCTTCTTCGACCCTTCGAGCAGCCTCCTTGCCCCGCGAGTGCCGCTTGCGGCCATTGCGGCTCGCGCTGTTATCTAGTGTCGCACAGGGAAGCGTGCTCGCTGCGCCGCTCAGTCGGCGCGCTGTTCCAAAAACCGCACTATAACTGGTATTTCCCTTCGCGCGCCTGCATTTTAAGCGGTATGTAAATACATAGAGGTCTATGGGAGGCGAACCGGTGGTTTAAAAAAGCCGCGTTATACCCGGTCCTGCACTATAAGCGGTTACGTTGTAAGTGGTCTATACTGTACATCAGTCCGACTTCCTTACATAAAACAAAACACCAAGGTGAGTGAAGCTGGGAGAAGAATGGGAACAGGGAGCTTCTGGTAAACCTCAGAGTGGTGTGCCGACGTTTCACTTCGAGACATAGTTTCTTCGGGGCCCTGAAGAAGCTAGGTCTCCTAGTGAAACCTCGGTACACCATTCTGAGGTTTACCAGAAGCTCCCTTTTCCTTGCAGCAAGGCAAGCACATTGTCCTCCATTTTCTCCCCCTCTCCACATCACTCAGACCAACCTTCAAGGTCACCATGTGAGTTGCAAGCAGAGGCAGCGCGTGCTGGAGGCTCTGAAGAAAACCCGACCGGGTGCTCTGGGTCCCCAGTGTACCCCGCTACATGTTACCGCGCACGTGACTCGGAAAGCGGCGTAAGAGTTGAGAGTGGTTGGGAGGTGCCCAAAACTTTCAAATTTTTAGAAAAAAAAACAACTAACGTGCGCAGGCAAATTTGGTTTTCAGTTCTTCACTCAAGACATGACAAGGAACAGCTCCCGCAGTGATTGGATCGAAGTCTAAAAATTAATGCACGGCCCCTTTAAAAATAGAAATCCTCTTTGAAAAATATAATTTTGTGAAAGTCTCGGGAGCACTGGGACCCTTGGTGATGACGGCGGCACGCTATATCCCCCTTCATTGTCGCTCACTTTCATTATCATCGGTGAGGAGGTAGAGCGAACAAAGTGCAAAATCTGTCAGATATGTCTCGCAACGGTTGGGTGACAAACAGGGGCTGAAACGGATGTACAGCGGTTCGGCTACGGTTGCCATTCTTTCTTCAAATCGGTTTGGTTTTCGTTTTTTGAGGGTGTCACTTTTACCATTTTGGTTATCAATTAACCACCCATACAAACCATTTCTTTTTTTCTTTTAACGAGCCAATAATAAAAACATTCTGCCTACGACCAATTCTTTTTACGTTTGACAACAGTACTTGAATAAATGGTTTGAACTAATTCTTGATGTTTAACAATGGGTCAGCAAGGCAAAAGTAATTGGACTCTCAATCTCAAATATTTGTGTGTGTGTGTGTGTGGACATATAGACAGTGTGAAGCTTGTCAACCATTCAGAAAGGCGACATGTCTTTATGCTGTAGATAGGAAATTTAGACAATGCAGAATGGCTAGCCTGGATTTTTCAAGTGCCTCACGCAGTAGTGATGCACGATCGCACGCTGGCAATGCTAATCCAGATCGAAACAAACCAGAACAATAAAGCATTCCGAAACTTTTTTACTACTTAGGATTGGTCAAAAGTTTCATTACTACCTATAAGGCTCTTGTTGACATCATTGATTTGCATTACATATTTTGTTCAACATGCATACACGCTACTGACGACATGATCACACTGCTATACATCATTCAAAAGACATATTTCAGTTCAGCCTCTGAATGCTCGTATCTTCTCTAAACGACTAACTCAGTCCAGCTGTTTCTTTTAGCGCCGTTACCATAACGTCTCTGAACGCTTGTCTTTCCACCAGGGTCACAATTAAACAATTCTAATCGCGAGCAGACTATGCATGTCTTATGTCTAAAATAGATATTTTAAATGTTTAATGTCATGATGCTTTCATTAAATAAAGTTTACAATAACATTCTTTCGCAGGAAATATTAATACCACAGAAAAATAACTACAGTTTAAGATATGGGTATCGACCGTTTAAATTGAGTTCATTGAAATAAACTAATGTCACCTGGCCGACCGAGCAACCACATTTGCTCAAATGAACACCTTCATTCAGTGGAACATTGTGGATGAGGCTTCGCTTGCTAAAATGTTGTTCACTCAAGTGAGTGCCCCTCCCCCCCAAAAAAAAACAACAACTAGACTTTCCACATTATTGTGTATTATCTCTCAATAAAATAATTCGGGAATGGAAAGGGCACATACCATGAAAGAGTTGAACAACCGAGAGCCATTAAGCTTTTACTCGCCATATGCATACACGACAGAAACGAACTCTGGCGCCCACCGACGCCTGGCTAGCCGTTTTGTTAGCTCTACATTATTGACATCAGAACGGCGTCAATGGCATCAATTGGCTCCCAAAATCACGTTCTCTTGTGTTGTTGCGCTCGTTCTGTTGAAATCGTCCCAGCCACAGAGACCTCTGGCAACAGCAGGGATGTCAATGTGAGCCTTAGCTCGACTGTGTTATTGTTGAAAGAAAAAATGTAGCCGATATAATATATTGGTTACTGGTTAATCCATTATGGTTACGGTTACAGATAACATTGAATTTAAATATTGGTTTCGTTTTGGTTACGGTTAGCAAAAAAAATTTAAATCCTAAACGGTTTTCGGCTTGGGTTGCGGTTACGGTTTCAGTCTGTGGTGACAAAGCAGGAATACAGTCGGACAAAATTCTCAGCAAAATCTTGACTGAAATTTTGCCGTTTTCGTTTTTACATTTTGATGGCAAGATTGAAATCGCGTAAAGTTCCTCAATGGAGTGTGTCCTTGGCATGCATTTTTCTGGCTGGCCAACTCATTATATCCTTGTCGGCACAAATTTCCATCAAAACTAAGTCCACCTCATTGCTCCTTATTACAGGTACCTGGACTATTACATGCACAACCTGTTTGCGGGGGCCTTCCGGAAACGCGACGTTTCACCGCTGCCCGTGACCATACCTACAGCGAAATCTTCGCAAGGTAAGCCTTAGTTGCTTGCTGCTTTTTCATTATAGACAGTTTTGTCAAAAGGCTATTCTGACACCCCGACAGTAATCACCAACTATATCTGTTTCATATTCTTGGTTTCAACTCAATGCATATATGGTGCATATATGGTGTCCAAACAGGAGTGCAAGATTTAGTACCATAAAAAAGAGTGCCTTTTTCATCCACAATGTGCGAAGAAGTAAAAGCTATGCAGAGAGCAAGCCGCCTGCTTCTTGCGTAGGGGTTGTGGTGATGTCAGAACGACTCAGAGTTCTGATTGGCTTTGATTGGAAGGATAGTGGGTAGACCTCAATGCTAGCTGCCTTGAGGTCTACCCACAATCGTTTCAACCAGAGCCAATCATAGCTCAGCGTCCTGACGTCAAAGCAACCGCTGTGCAAGAAGCAGACAAACTTGCACTCCGCATAGCTGTCGCACATTTGCGCACCTTAGGATCCTCACGTCGCCATGTAGGCGCGGCAGGGGCGGCCTCTTATCAATGGTCAGTGTAAGTTCGACGCCAGTCGCGAGCCGTGGAAGCCAGCTGTTCCCTCTGCGCTCACTCCTGGGACACAAATCACGGCTTTGGTGCCGCAGCGCCATTAGGAAGAGCATGTGGCAGTGACGGCACAGATGGAGGCACAGGTCTTCTCGATGTTGTTAGGTGGCGAAGAGAAGGGGTAATGTCGACGTTTGGCGACTAGCGGAGAAGGGAATGCATTCAGCTAAACAAGGCAAAGCTCTGTGGGAAAGGCAAGGCGGCAGGTTCTGGCAGAACTTGTTGCCTTGCACCCGCCTTTCAAGGGGTCTTTGTGCATCTCCGTGCAGGCTTGCATGCTTTCGGCACCTCGGCCTTCGTAAGAAACATGGTCAAGCGCCTATACACTTCGAATAATCCAGTTAAAAATGCTTGCATTTCGGTTGGGACCATGTTAAACTTCGATAAAAGCGATCATTAAAAACAAATGTTTCGTTATAACAAAAATTTACTGTATCTGAAATTTAAAAAAAAAATTGTTATCATCATTAAATTAAATTTTGTGCTATTGCTAGGACAACTTAAACATACCAAAACAAAACACTCAAATTTTTGTTTTGTTTTTTATTTAATGATATCAAAGACAATGTTATTATTTCGATTGATTTTGTAGCTTGTGCAACTTTAGCAGTGTAGTGTGGTGTCGGCTGCTTCCTCGACGTGTACCCTTCGTCTTTCGACACGGCCACGCAGTGCAAAAATGTGCGGAGATGTTGTCCCAGGCCAAGCGTCCCGTCATCATCTTGGGCAGTCAGTCAACGCTCCCGCCCCATCCTGTGGACAGCCTCAGGGCTGATTTGGAGGTCAGTACTCACTAAATTCACAGGGGGGCACTGGACTTGGAAAGCAAAATTATTGCACTCATAAAGGTGTGCCTATATTTTTATAAGTTTACACTTTAAGGTGCATGATGGTATAGCTCTCTCTTATGGCTAGGACTATGTGTGAACGAGGCCCAAGCAAAACAAGCACGAACATGTTGCCTTGAACGATCCTTGAACGGCACGAAGGGTACCTTTTTGGCAGGAACACTCAGAGCCTCAAGCTCGCTCTTGTGGTTTCTGCTAAGTTTGCGGTTGAAGAGAAAGTGAAACCCCCCAGAACGACGGTACCCCTAAAAGTCAGTTGAGTGAAGGCAACTGCAGGCTCTTTTGCTTTGGCTCGTATTCCCTTTATAAAAGTGGAAGGAATCCATCCTTTTTTTTTTACAGCGGAGCTGTTAAGGGCTAGTTTCCCCAGTATTGTGTCCGTCAGCGAACAAATGATGACACGAAACTTTGGACAGCTACCGCCATCTATGAGGGATGGCGGCAACCTCTCCAGCCTTTCCACTCTGGCTTGCCGACTTGCAGCCAGCCATTACTTCATTCCCACCATAGTACAGCTTCACTGGTCTTCCTTCTTTACCAGAGTGGAAAGGCTGAAAGTTTCTTTCTTCAACCCCTACCCAACCAGAATGAAAAAGTCTCTTCACGGAAACCTCGTTGCATAAAATAGAGGATGCCCAGATAAAAAGCTCGCTAGGAAGAACTTGAAAAAGAACCTTCTTTGAGGCCTTAGATTAGCAGCAGATGTTTCACTAAGGCGCTGGGTTTCGAAGAGGCTATTGGCTGCCAAACCGAGGCTTCAGGGTGGTTTCTTTCAAGCAAAACGGGTGACATCACCCGAAAAAAGTAGGACAGTGAAGATTGCGAGCACCCTGAAAGGGATGCTGAAGGGGTTCTTGAAAAGAAACGAGTTAGAGGAGTATCCTAGCGCATTTTTTATCTGAGAACTAGAATATTGCGAGCATTTGACCCCAAAATAGACACAAGAAAAACCAGCTGCTAGATGTGACATCATACCCTGAGGTTTTGGCTGCCTTGCGCGTTCAGCTTGTGAGGGAACGCGTGCAGCGCTTTTGACTGCTCCGGTAAGACTTGCGGAAAGTATGGAAATGTTGACATCTCTGTATAACACAATTTTGAAAGCGCTGTTGTAGCTAATCTGTGCATCAATCTGAAATATAATTTTGATATTCGTAATCTTGGAGGCCACATAAAGACGATTGGAGTGTTGTTTTTTTTCCCTCGTATACAAAACCGCTTCAGTTTCCCCTTAATTAAAACATCAATCGCCGTTCTCAGTGGGTTCGGTGACACCTGACGCAAACCGAAGTTGACAGTGCCGACACTCTTTCTGCGGCATTCGACGCAGGCCCTGGGTATTCCCTGCTTTCTCGGAGGCATGGCCAGAGGACTGCTCGGCCGTAAAAGCCCCATCCAGATGAGGCACTGCCGCAAGGATGCCCTGGCACAGGCGGACGTCGTCCTGCTTGCAGGTAACACAGCACCAGACGTTTCTATGTGACCCGTTGCAAGCGGCAGTCTTGCTTACAAGTAGCACCATACGATTCCTTATGTTACAGTGCTTTTGCAATTGGGATAACCCAGATGTTCTCCAACCCGGTCTGAGCATTGACGCAATACTAGAGTAGTGCAGAAGCTTAGATACTACATTGTAAAAAATTATATGCATATTTATGGAGTGTCTGGCTCATAGTTATGCATCAGTGGGTGGCTTACGACTTTACTTGGGAGCAGGGACAGTTGAAGAAATTGGGGGCCACGGTGAACCCCTAGTAGGTCCCGAGGAACCCACTTTGAGAACTTGTGGGATAACTAATTGTAAATATATATCCCAATTGGAAATAACCAATTGCAATCTGCTGATATCAATTGGCACTGATTGAAACCCTAATTGGACTCGGGTATTTTTTTAGCTAAAATGCAGTACTTTTTTTTTTCAGTTTAAACTAAAAGTTTTGATTCCTAATTATAATACACAGAGGTTTTTATTGCGGGGCCTCAGTTGATTAATAATTATAAACATACTATTTTTGTTTCTAAATTTCTAAGTTTCTCTCCTTTTACAGGTTCTGTGTGTGACTTCCGTCTCTCCTATGGCCGTGTTCTCAGCAAGAAGTCCAAGATTATTGCCGTGAACAGAAACAAAGATCAGCTGTACAAGGCATGTTCTCTTTCGTACAGTCGGAGCATGTGTGGGGGCAGACTTTGTCCCCTTTAAATGTCTTCAGCATCTTTAACGGTACCCTACGAAAGAAACACTATTGCAAGAAAACACTTTCACATATCCTGCCAACTTTGTTGTAGCGAGACTCGACTAACAGCAAATAAGGTTCTCCATTTTAAATATCATATAGAGAAAACTGTTTGTCATTTATTATGCCACCACATTTAGCAAACAAAGTGTTTTACTAGGTGATAATAGTCACAGCAGGTATATATAAGCCTGACCATGTTGGTGCAGAGCCGATGTGGTAAACCGATTGGCAAATTTCAGCAGGTGTCCACCAATTCTGGTGGCCATGCGGTAATGAAAGTGAGGGGGCACATTTCTCGTACATTATCTTTAGTTGCTTTTCTAACATGCCGTTTGTAACCTTCAACTGAGGACCTTAGTGTACTTGCTTACATACTCTGATGACATGCGGGCTTTTCACCATTAACTATAAAGTCTGTTGCAGAAGGGGCTTATCCAGCTACTCTAAACCTGCAGCAGGCTGTAGTGGCGGTTCATATCGGCGAAAGCGTAATTTGGTATAATTCGGCATTTGCCGAGATTTGAATTACATTTTTTAATTCTTTAACTGCTCTAGTTCTAAACTAAAATTGCAGATGAAGCAGAGGGAAGAAGGTGTGAAATCGGTAGATACCAAAAAGCACCTTTCTTCTCTCACTTGTTTCCTTTCTGGCAGATGTCGATGCTGGGCAATACGATTTGATGTGCATGCCACGTCCAAAACGTTTCAGAATTCCGATGCCTTCTGGAAGCCCGCAGTTGCGGTGCAGGCCGATGTGGGAACATTTCTGGCGGCTCTCAGAAAGTCCCTTCCTGGCTACCAGTGTGACCAGGCTTGGCTCGAGACTTTGCGGAACCTGGACAATGTGAAAGACTCCAAGAACAGGTACACCTTTTCTCATTAAATTGATTGGAGGAAAGGCTCTATTATTTCTCAAATTTATATTTCAAGAATATAATTATATTTCCCCCGATTTCAAAAAGATGTGGAACTTGGAAACAAAGAGTGCCGACTATAAGTGTGAACAAAGTGTTTTTAAAAAAAAAGGAGTGCGGTAATTTTTTTTAACTAATTCTCATTTTGCAGCGTAAAATTTTCTTTCAAGAAAGTTAGATTATGCAAGACAGACGTTGCTATCACATGCACGGTGCACGCTTCTACCGCTTGCAGAACCACAATTTTTAATTACGCCCACGGCAACTTTAGGAGATTATCTCCGACTTTACAACGAGCCTTTTGACATACATAAGTTACATTCTTTTTTCACAGCGATAGGTGTTATAGGCTCTTCCTACCGCTGGAAATTACGTCCATTGTCATTGATGTTGTAGTTGACGTAGGTGGGTGTAGGGCGACTGTTGTCGATATCGTAAAATGTTGTAAAACAATCTTTCGCCGCCACAATATTCCGAGGATTGGAACCTGAATTTGGTGCTTGTGAAGCGGGTGCGTCATCACAGGACTACGCCGCAGCCTTGGCAACCGCGTTTATCGGCATTTGATAAGCACACGCATCTGTACGGGTCTCGTGTAGCGCCCGCTAGATGGCCACAGTTGCTGCGACGTCGAGATGGAAAATTCTTTATTAGTATTCTTAATTTAAAAATTGAATTGTTGAAATTAAAAGCTGCAGCTAGCTGGTGCAAGTCGTCGTTAGTCGATCCCCAAGCCGCCGCAGGTGGCAAACGCGCCGTAGCTCAAGAAGGGTACAACGCAAAGTAGCAGACGCGCATCTTGGCATTGCCACGTGCTAGCTTTGCGCGTGCTGCGAGAGACGCTGAAAGACGCGCTGGCAGAGACGCCTACCGGTCTCACTGTTCGTCGCAGGTAGAACGGCAAGGTGCGTGCTTGTAAGAACGAGGCCAAGGGACTACACCGTCAAGACCCCGCGTGGCGTGAATGCAACACCAATGCCCAACGACTTTGCCTCGACAAGTCGCAGCCGTCTCTGTGACCGTACTGTGAATTCACGCGAGGTCGCTCGTTTTTTTTAATCCGGACTGGGTCTGAACCAGTCACACCGGCTAGGAGCCTGTGGAACTGCGATGCAGAGTGCAAGTTCGTCTGCTTCTTTTGCAGGGGTTGTGGTGACGTCAGAATGCCGAGCTCTGATTGGCTCCGATCGAAGGATAGTGGATAGACCTCAAGGCAGCTTGCTTTGGGGTCCACCCACTATCCTTCAATCAGAGCCAATCGGAGCTCGGCATTCTGACGTCACCACAACCTCTGCAAAAGAAGCAGACAAATTGCGCTCCCTATAGCCGCCGAAAGCTTGAGAATGAAGGGTGTGACTTGCTACGTTCATGCTCCTTGGCCCATTCTTTGGCTTTTTTTTTTCAGTGAACGCTGTAACCTCATTGGCTGCCAAATGGTAATGGGATGCTCAGGACCCGCTACGCCCTGTATTTCTTAAAGGGACACTAACACTCCCCAAAATTTATTTTTTATTTTTTGCCAGGCGATTTTTTATGGCGTCAGAAGACTATATTTTGCTACAGCGTTACGTATATACCCTAGTATTTAACGAGTCAAAAAACGCAACTGCTCGAAACCGAAATTGAAACTGGATTGAGGAGGAAGAAGAAATACAGAGGGGGAGAGAGATGGCAGAAGTCATGTGGCTGTGATACTTTTTTTTTCCCAGTCAACCTATTTCAAGCTTTTTAGAAGCCACGAAAAATGGGTATCATATTTCTTTTCCATTTTTAATATTGTGTGTGTGCACTGATGACCCACAACTTTGATTATATTTGGTGGTGTGTCTAAACCATAGAAAACGGCTTGTGACCACAAAGAAGAGAGTGAACGCAACTAAACTGGCCAGTTCTCAATCTGCGGTTTTCGGGCAGAAAGATAATAAATTTTGAGCCGTGAATTGTTTTCTGGGTAGTTGGGCTCTCGTACGTCATGTACAAATACATAAAAACCTTGGCGAGCATAAATACCCTGTCCCAAAATGAGTTGCTGGGCGAGTTGGATAGACTCGCCCAGCAATTCTAAGGGCCATATTAACTTCCGTTAATATGGCCCTTAGAAAGAGGTTAATAATTTTAACCTTCTTTAATTTAATAATATTACCGCACTTGCCACCTTCCTTCTCTTTCACTACATCATTATTAAAACCTCAGTTGTGAGTCAGTGCTCTTTCCTTCCTGTTGTCTCTTCCTCACGTAACTTACTTGCGCTGTTTAAGTAAAAAAAAGAATACCCTGTCAGTGTCCCTTTCAGCTGTCCCTTGCTGTAGGAACTTTCATTTAAATTGAAGCGTGACTTTTAATTAAGTGCTGCAGTCTCTGTTGTGCAGGGAGGCAGCTGGCGCTCCTGCCGACAAGCACCTGAATCCCGTGAAGGTGCTGAGTGAGCTCGAAGAGGTCCTGCCAGAGAACGCCATCCTGGTGGCAGACGGCGGCGACTTCGTAGGGACTGCGTCCTATATTCTCAGGTAGGCCTTCACACCATGAACTTCTTAGGGACTGCGTCCTATATTCTCAGGTAGGCCTTCATACCATAGACATAGGGAGCTTCTGGAGGCGGCATGACGCCACCAGAGGTGGAACCGGGGGAAACTCGGTTTAGAGGGACACGCCTCCAGCATTGAACAAAAATGAACAAAACCAAAAGACGCTATTTAAGTGAATGGACAGCTGATTTGGTGCCAACAGCTGTTTTTGTCATCTTTGAGGCAGGGGTGGATTTATGGGTCAAGCTTGGGGGGGTGGGGAGGGGAAAGGGGGGGGAGTGTGGCAGTTTGTTGAGATATGACGTTATGGCGGAAACATTGCCCGGATCTATTTTGTTGACCCAATATTTGCTATGTCACCAAAAGCGAAACTTTTGGCTGGTGAATATCTATTTTTTTTTATTAAAAAAATGTTGCCCTTGGGGACAGTGGCGGTCACCCCCCCGCCCCTTCCCTTCCTTGATGTCCGCCTTTGCCTTGAAGGTGTTCCCACCGACCAAGACGTCTCTTTTCGGCTTCTCTTGGGATTTGCTCATTTGGCTGGCTTCATTAATGTATTTGGTACCTACCTCACTCGGCGGGCAATACAGTAGGTGGGGCGGAAATAATTATACAAAAGCGAACACGTAGTGGAACATACTAGAAAAAATAACAATCATACGGGAGAAGCATGTCAATATATACTACAGTATAGACCACTTACAACGTAACCGCTTATAGTGCAGGACCGGGTATAACGCGGTTTTTTTAAACCACCGGTTCACCTCCCATAGAACTCCATGTAATTACATACCGCTTAAAATGCAGGCGCGCGAAGGGAAATACCGGTTATAGTGCGGTTTTTGGCACAGCCCGCCGACCGCGCCGACGACCAGAGCAGCGAGCTCGCTTCCCTGTGCGACACTAGATAACGGCGCTGACGGCGCGAGCCGCACGCTGCGCTGGCGGGGCAAGGATGTTGCTAGAAAAAGCGGGGAGAAGCGAAGAGAGAGGCTTCAGTTGCCTTAGCGACGGAGGGACGCACGCACGTGTCGTTCACGTGCGTGCGTCCCTCCGCTGCGTTGGAAACAAAGAAACAAACAACCGCAACGACAGACCAATCGCAGGTCGAGGAGAAGTGTTCGCGCGCGTTGCATGCTCTCTCCTTTCCCTCCCAACCTCTCTTACAACGCTTCTCCTCCTCTTCCTCTCCGGTCGCGGGCCGGCTGCTTCTATCCGTAAACATGGCGTCGGTTGTGATCGTCGTCGTAGACGGCGTTCATCTCATCGTTCTGCGTAAAAGCGCTATCCCTGACTGTGAATTTTCGTTGTGTGTCGCTGTGATAACCCAGCACGTAGTACTAGAAGGGAAGATCCACCTACTCGTGCGGCGACGTCGTGGCGGCGCTCTCAAGACGGCAGAAACGCCCGTGTCGTCGTGTTTGTTTACTTCGACTACAGTGGTGATTTCTAAGCATTTGTGTCCTCGAACATCGTTCGGATTTCTTATTTGGCGCATTTCATGCGTGTGCTCAAGTGCAAGGTATTACTGGCGCGTACGTATGAAGGATGCGAATTTTCACGCGTTTTCATCTCCGGAGAAAAGTGATTAGGGTTAGCCATTCTGAACGCTCGCAACGTCCGTCCGCAACTCGCGACGCCGTTAAAGGCTGTGCCAGGCAAAAGCCGCTCATTTCTTTCAAAATGTTTGACACACTTGAGACAGAACTGTACTAGTCTGGTGAAATAAAGACTTTCCTCAAACTAAGCTTTATTTTTCATCTAACATAAAAATAAATTCTTTTACAAAGGTAAGTTGTTTCATGGCATGTATTTTGGCCTGAAAAATTGATGTTTTGGTTATAGCGCGGTACCGCTTATAGTGCGGATTTTCGCGACTCCCGAGACATACGTTATATGCGGTCTACACGTACAATAATATGAGAACACGATCAACGGCAAGCACAGGCCGAACGAAGTAAACTGTCAAAACAGACAACAGTAACATAATTTCATCAAAAAAGGATTGAACGTTAGGAAGCTCTACCAGTGAGTCGGGCAGCACGTTCCAGCCACTAATTGTTTGCGGGAAAAATTAATATTTTAGAAAGGCAGTATGTTAAAAAAAATTCTCGTATCTCTTTCTTATTGCCAGTCCGAAGAGAAACATAGTGAGGTACCAATAGTTATCATGATATAGTATCTATCCCGATGCTACCGTAATATAGATTATTCATAAACTTGAGACAGAGGCACTTTCGTCTAAGTTGTAAAGGTTTCCATCCGAGCTGGAGCTTTATTTGAGAGAGACTATCGTGAAAATTATAGTTATTTAGCATATATCTCGCAGCCTTATTCTGAATTCACTTCTGAATTCAATTCTGAGCCATTCTGTCACCTCCTCTTGTTCCTACCTCCAAGCTTCACACCCGCTAGAGTCGATAGGATAGGACAGATTGGATAACATTGGCTAAACCCTTTTAATCAGGCTATCACAGTTTTGAAAATTGGATCAAGAATTAGTTGGGAACTGCAAGTGGCACGGAATCAGTGTATGTTTCAGTCAACCAAACAGGAAAAAATCCATCGGTAAGGGGATATTATAATTCAAATTTAACGTTTCCAAGCTTCTTTTTTTTTTTTTAATTTGGGGGCGTTTTTTTGAGTGTTTATTGTCTTCCCACAGGTTCGGTGCTTCCTGCTGTCTACTTTCCTTGTCGGACAGAAAATCCGCGTCTGTCGGGGCTTCCGTTGAAGAAAAGGAGACACGGCTGTGGGATTTCCCAACTTCCAAGGAATATGCATATTGCCACGCGCGTCGCCCAGCGAGCGCGTGCGTGGCTGAGTCGTTAGCGTGCTTGGCTGTCGCGCGGAGGATCCGGGTTCGATTCCAGGGAGGGGAACCTTCTATTTATTTATTTATTCTTTCTACTTGGCATTCTCGTAAGTTTGAGAACCTTTTAGTCTGTTTGAGTTACGAATGTTCTAGGCGCCGAACAATCTAGGCCGAATGTTCCAGAGACGCACGCGTATCATGAGGGGCTTTGCATGGCGAGCCGGAGTCAGTCTCGCCCCAGCGTTCGATGCTGCTGTTACGCCAACTTCGACGCCTGCGACGCTCTGTTGTTATCTTCTGTTTCCTTTTTGTTTTGGACATAAGTTCGCCTCATTAAACATTTCAGCTTTCTCAGTTATTCTTTGTTTCAACACCTCGTCATTCGCAACATTGTATTATATCGTCACATTGTAAAAGTGTCACGAATGACAAGGTGACGAAACAAAGAATAACTGAGGAAACTGAACCGTTTAATGAGGCGAACTCGTGCTCAAAACTAAAAGGAAGCAAAAGATAACAACAGAGCGTCGCAGGCATTGAAGTTGACATAATAGCAAGATCGAACGCTAGGGCGAGACTGACTCTGGCTCGCCACGCGGGGCCTTTTGTACCTGCATGTGTCTCTGGAACATTCGGCCTAGAACGTTCGGCGTGTAGAGCATTCGTAACTCAATCAGACGAAAAGATTCTCAAACTTACGAGAATACAGTAGAAAGAATAAATACATGAAAGAAAGTTTCCGCTCTCTGGAATTGAACCCGGATCCTCCGCGCGACAGCCAAGCACACTAACCACCCGGCCACGCACGCGCTCGCTTGGCGACGCGCGTGGCAGAGCCTAGCCTAGCACTTAGAAAATGTCCTGGTACCGATAAAAGAGGGAAGCGAGATGTGGTTTCCAAAGAAAGCACCATCCTGGCAGACGGTTCAGTGTGGGCTGCATTCTGGTTCAACATAAAATAAAGCTTTAGACAAAGACTTCTTCCCACGAAGCCTGAGTTTTCTACATTCAAAAACAGCTCCAATTTAGGTTGTTTTTTTTTTTTTGTTTTTTTTTTGGGAGGGGGAATTTATTTAAGTTTTATAAAATTGGCTGGGGGTTGATTTCTTGAGTCTATCGGCATACACTCAAAAACACACAACCCCGGTTATAAGTAACACACTGTTTTGCCTCGCCACTGACTGTCATGTTCGTCTCGATGATTACGAAGTCCTAATTTTGTTTGCTGGGATCCAGACCTGGGGGTCCACTCCAGTGGCTGGACCCGGGCGCGTTTGGGACCCTAGGCGTCGGCGGCGGCTTTGCCCTGGGCGCTAAGTTGTGCCGGCCCGAAGCGCCCGTCTTCATCATCTACGGAGACGGTTCCCTCGGATACTCCATGCTTGAGTTTGACACCTTCGTGCGGCATAAGGTGGGTGAATGTTCATCCTCGTTCCTTGCTTTGGAGATGTGGACTGCCTTCTTGGGCATTTGGGAAGGTTTACGATGGCATTTTGTTTTGGTTTGACCACTTTAAGAGGGTGGGTCGACTCATATAATTCAAGTTACCCCTAGTCTGCGCCACGTCAGGGTTCTTACCGCAGTCCGTTTAACCAATCGGCTGCTCTATCTTTTAATGTGAGACATTGTTTGGCTAGTTGCTCCGCATTTCGTGAGGCCCGACAAGCGTGGCCGTAAAACTTGACGTTGATTGGTCGACGGGGAGGTCACGTGACTGGAGGGGTAAGCGAGGAGGAGCTTGAATACCTGTGCACACTGAGGGAGAGGACCTTGAGAGTATAAAAGGCTCTGGAAGATCGCCAGGTTTATTGGCCCGACTAGCGGTAGTGTCGCTTCATTCTAGGGGCAACTATTGAGGCAGTTGAGTTCGCGAATATGTGAAACTCAAGAGTATCGCTTAATGTCCGTAATGCTTAAACGTTTCACCTATGCAACACAATTGCGTAGCAATTGGCCATAGTTTTATGAGGGAGCAGAAGAGAGCTTCCTTCTTTTTGTATAACCTACGCAAGTCTTGGTCATGTGGCTTTACGGTTGAGTCTTATCTGTGGCACGTTTGATTTCTGGCTCTTCTGGATCTATTACGGTGATTGTCACTGATAAAAAAAAAAGATGAACTTGGAACTGAAGATGAATGATTAATGAGGCAAACATGTGCCTACAAACCAAAGAGAAAACTACCCCGCATCTTGCATCGCTGGCGGAAGGGCGACCGTCCCAAAGCGACGCGTTGCTGCCGCTTTTATGCATGCGGCATGTTGAGGAATGTGCTGAACCGGAAAGCATAATGACAGCCAATAACAGACCGAAGCTTTTCGGAAGAGCAGAGATTGAGAAAAGTGTTATGTATGTTGACTAACAGCCAGCGCCCCCTGGCTCTAGTGCTCTCGTGGCAACCGGCCGAGGACGAAGTGATGTGGCGCACCTTCGAACATTCCATCGAACACTGACCAGAAGCAGCATCTCATTTCTATATTCAAGACTATGCTATAAATAAACATAGTCTGATACATAACAAAAAGATAGAACTGAACCAAGCAAAGTTTGAATCCCGTTCCTCCGGGTGGCAGCTGCGTGTGTTGCAAACTACCACGTATGCAGAAGAATGCAGAATTTTAGCAGGTTACTGGTAGGTGAGGCACTTTTTACAACACACATATTGAAACCCAAGACAAGTGAAAGCAAGTGAAAAAAGGAATGCAGCATGTCCTCTGCTTGTCTGTTTTTTTTTTTTTATCTCAAAATTTAGGATGAGCTACTCGCTTGCTCTATATCGTCAACTTTGTGTGGTATTGCCAAACCCTGGAAGAGTTTTACGAAACAAATTAAGCACCAGTTTATTTTTACTCTAAACAACCTTTTGCAAGATGGGTATGATTATTTTATGTGAGCTTCACAGTGTGTACTATTTTTAGACCTTCCTTGACCTGAATTTTTAGTGTGATGTTCCTTTAAAGCAGTGGTTCTCAACCATTGATGTCTCGCGGACCCCTTTTGGATCAGCGGAGATGATGGAGGACCCCGTTCACAGTGAGGGGAAGGGAAAGGTATAGGTTAATTAGGATAATTATTTAAAGGGATACTTCAACGAAATTTGAAATATTCCCGTCGTGTTCAAAAATAGGTTGAATATGATCCACAATATCCGTAAATGACAATCGCTCGTTTGTATTTTGAGCCTGGTGGCTGTATTTTTCGTTATAAACGGCCCACTCTGGCAAGCGCTCGGAGAAGGCCCAGCAAAAACCACGTGACATCCAACGCAATCGTGACGTAGGTCGTCTCAAGACGAGCAAAGCTACGGCGAGGCTGACGTCGAGAGGATGGCCTAGTCGTTCCAGCCACTGAAGCGGCTGCTTTTGTACAAATTTTGAGTGACGGGTTAATCTTCTATAATCTTGTAGGGGGACAATAGCGACTTCTGCGACACACAAAAGGCATTCTCGGGAAGAGGGGAGTTCCTCCTGCCCCTCTTCTCTCGTCGTGGCCGGAGGCGAGACAACCTCCGTCACTAGCTGCCAAGGTTCCTAGACGGGCATTACAAGCGAGGCGTTAGCGACATCCACCAGGTGCTCTTTGCTAATCGTTTAATTCGTTTTAAAATTCCTTTTCGTGACTCTTTTAACAAGATATTGGTATGTTTGATTTGATGGTGCTTTTTTGAACACATATAGACCAAAAAATGAGCGCCGAAATTTCGTTGTAGTATCCCTTTAATAAGTGGATATAACTAGGGCTGGTGTGAAGTAGATTTCTCTCATTGACATACACACGAGAAAACTTGCCTGAAATGTGGAATGTTTCTTCTCAATCGGATAAAAGACAACTTTTATTGCCGGGCTTGACTGACTAGGCAGGGCTTTGCGGACCCCTAAAAAGCCTTCGCAGACCCCAAAGGGTCCATGGGCCGCCATTTGAGGACCACTGCATTAAAGGATAATTCTTTCACGAAAGAGGGCTTCAAGTTGGTAAAGAACTGAAAATGGCTGTTTCTGATTATGCCAAAGCAAATGTTTAAAACCTGTTCGCACATTAACCACAGCACTATAACTCAGTGCCCGAGACAAAGTGCCAACCTTGCGTTATCTCAGTGCTGAGGCACATGTACAAACCTGCCTTCAGAGTCTCTTTTTTTTCTTTCTGGTAGGAATAAAATCTATGTATCATGCATACTAACTTGGTAGATTTAGTGATGCACTAAAGAAGACGTGCTGGTACCTCGTGCATGGGTAGCCCTTATGTTTTCTTCTGGGAACTTCATTGTTGCCTTCGCTGCCGTTTTGCAGACTCCCGTGATAGCCGTGGTGGGCAACGACGCCTGTTGGATGCAGATCTCGCGGGAACAAGTCAAGATGTTCAAGAGTAACGTGGCCTGCGCCCTCGCCGTGAGTTGGAGCGCTCACTTTGAGACCTTTTTTGGAACTCAAAACTCGCTTTCCTTCCGACTCTTTTCATACCTCGAATGGGCATTGATTGCGTGTCTCGTTTACGGATTTACATCACCGGCTTCGTTGATTGGTTCATCTGTGGTGACGGAGCACCGTTTTACTAGAGGTACAGCAGAGTGGAATATAAAAGCTACTTCATCAGTCACTTCAGTATATGTCATGCAGTACTGGGGAAGTGCCCATGACCAAACAAGCAGCCACTATGAACTTTTTACAGAATTCAGAGATTATTCTCTTGTGTTTTGAGTGAGCACCGAGAATGTCCGATCGAAAACACCGAAGTTCAGTCATCTTAGTTAGAAAGTTGAGGGTTCAAAAAAAGTCTTCTTTGTTCTTCTTCTCTTGGCCAGTCTCATCTTTCCTTTTTTTCTTCTATTTTCTTTTAGGGTGCATGAAACTAATGTCAAGTGTCTTGCATGTGGCTTGTCCCCATAGGATAAGACAAAGTTTAAAACTTTCAATTAATCTCTAAAATAAAATTATATTTATGCACATTTTGCAACCGCAGAATGCGGTGGTTTTTTGCACTTCTTCAATGAGTGAAGAAGACTGCATCTAAAAAAATTTCTGCTGGGATTCTAGACGCGACACCTGCATTCCGGGAACAGAGCGACAAGGGTTATTTCGCTGCTGCAATATATGAACAGAAGTTGGCACAGGGTGGCCAGTGCGTCACAAAATTATGGGGGCCGCATCCTCTACAGTTTCCAACGTGCACGAGAAATAATACTTTCTCTCACGTATTTAGTTTCTGTGAGAATTTAATTTCGGTTGCATTTGGTTGTTGAAGTTGCTTTAGGTTAATCTTTTTTTTTCTCAATTAGCTTCAGCTGCTATTTTGGGAGTACCTAAATTCTGTGATGTAAAGGACGCAAGGCACAAACCAATTAACCAACTTTTCATGGAACATGCACGTCCATACATCGAGTGAACCAGACGTCATCAAGTGTTTGAAAGAAAGAGTTCTTAAAGACCATTCGAGCACCGGTGACCAAATGTTTACGCCGCTGTGTGACAAGATTGTGGTGCAGTCAGGGCCAAGAAAGCTCTAGCACTTTTCCAACCCCTAATCTTAAAAATAAAAAAAAATAAAAAAAATTGGAAATTTACGAGTTGCATCGACAACAAACTTTTAACATGCCCCAGCAAAAAATAATAAAAAAGATGTTTACCCTTTTTGAAGAAATTTTTTTTTAAACGTGCAACTGAAATCTCAGTTATATGACACCTTTTCTGCAATTCCCTAAAATGTCTCCATTCTAAGAATTGCCGTCTCTGCCAGGTATCAGGCATGTAAAACGTTACTGTCATTGTCTTCGCTTCCTCGACCGCTATGCTTCTTTTGTGCATTTTAATGATTGGCTAGATGCATGCTCTGTAAGAACAAAGACGCATGGGCCTTGTTTCCTGAAAAGTGCTTACAGTATTTATAAATGATGATTAGTCATGAATATGGTTATATTTGATTAGACCTGTATGCTTGTTTTACCTTGATATTACGGATAAGGTTGGTATTCGCAGAATGTTTTTCTACATTCTCTCGTGGTATAAAGTCGGATCACCTGATATGTTTGTATAATAGTATTTTCATGCGATCACCGATATGCCTCTCCACTCTCCCATAGCTGTTTTCAATTGTTTCTCCAATATCAAGTCCGCATGATATGGCCACATATTTACTGGCCTGCTTCCCTTGGCGCAGCAAAGTAACAATCGCTTCGCATGTCTCCACTCTCGGCTCAATCGTAGAGTGTTGGGTTCAGAATCTCGGGGTCCTTAGTTCGACTCTAGTTGGGGAACCTTTGGAATTTCGTTCTTTTGCATAGGTTTCCTTCTCAAATTCGTGCTAACACATTTCACGAGTGTTTTTTTGTGGCACCACTTAACACTTTCCTTGGGATTCCCAGCCCTTAGACACATCCTTCTTTTAAAGCTCTGCCAACAAATCATGATTCTCGTTGCGTCGCAGTACCTCAACTACCACCAAGCCGTCGAGGGTTTGGGTGCGCGCGGGGTCCTCCTCTCGGATGCCGACGACAACAGGATGCAGGACGTCTACAGGGAGGCGCTCAAGCTGTACGCCGATGGACACAGCGTCCTCGTCAACTGCCTGATCGGGAAGACGTCCTTCAGGGAAGGTAGCATCTCGGTGTGACCGCACGTGTCGTTCGTGGTGTCCGAAGTACAACGCCCAGAGCGTCTTCGACTGGCGTGCTCACCACATCCTCGAAGATGATCCCTCGATTTTCGCCGACGATGTCCCGGAAGTGTTGCGCCATCGCCTGGCACAACCCTGAGGGTGGCGAAGCAGCGAAGGTGGTTGTGGCATGTGCCTGTTCTACTGCAGGTCGCTCTCCAGCCTGACAGTCCACGGAAGCTTCTACAGCTAGGGGTTGGGACTCCTGCTTTTTTCCGGAGACTTCTACGACTGACTGCCCGGCGAGATTGCGACGTCGGACAGAGCGACACTCCGGCTTTTGCGTCATCATCTGTTGTCACTTTGGAACCACTTTCGATGCGTGGGCGGTAAAGGACGCTAATTGCACCAGTCAGACACATTCTGGGTATCGTATGAGGAGTGATGTGGTGGGTGGGTCCTTAACTGAGCGAAAATGTGCCATGCAGTTTTGTGGAGGAAGGCAACCTGCTTCGACAAACGTAAGAAAAGCACGATTTATTGACCAAGGGTTATGACTAGGGTTCTGTGTTTTCGGTATATACCGATAAACCTTGAAAAGTATTTCCCAAGTGGGCTCTATCAAAATCGAGGGAACCCGAAAACTCCCGAATGGGAGCTGTCCTTGAATGAGACTTCGTGGGAAAGCATTTTTTTTGTGTGTTTTGAGTGTTGATTTGGAACACAGCTCACAGTGACCTGTCTGCAAGGCTGATGCTTTCTTTGGGAAGCATCCCATAAATACACCTCCAAATTCAAAGCAAAATAAACCATGAAAATGTAGAATCTTAGTGATGATCCTTAGGAAATACCAATATATTTGAAGCAAATCACTAATGTTAGAGACACCTTTTCTTGTGAATCTTTGTGGAGTTTCTTCTAGGGTTCACTTTGCAGATTGACATGCACATTGTATAATACATTCTGAACAAATGTGACTTGTTATTTACAGTTAAAACTTGCTACAGGCACTTTATTTCACTGACGTTTGCGAACTTTGTGGGAGTCGTCGTAATTGACTCTCGCTGCTTGTTGGATTTGATGCAAGTGCCACAAATTTCAAGACCTGTCAGTCGGCCCAGGTGCTGGATACTTCCTGTACGAGATTTTATTTCTTCAGTGGTACGAATAGCCTGATTCACTGGACATGCATTAAATGCTCAATCGAAAGTTCATTGCGGAACAATATTATAAATGTTACGTCCGTGAATAAAGTCTAGGCACCACAACTATACTAGGTGCTCCGTGTTGTAACGCATAAAAACGGCGGAACCACAATTTTTACTATAGTACTTTGTTTCAGCTCGCAGTGAACTGGAGCGGACGCTATGAGCCATCCCAGCCTATTCAGCGCTGTGAACGTACCATGCGACCACATGCGCCATGCTTAGCTGTGCTCCACCGTTTTGGCCCTGATGGCTCGTAGCATCCGCCGCAGTCCATCCTAAGGTGACAGAGCATGCGGAGTGCAAGTTCGTCTGCTTCTTCTGCAAGGGTTGTGGTGATGTAAGAACACCGAGCTCTGGTTGGCTCTGATTGAAGGATAGTGGGTAGATACCTCGAGGCAGCTTGCTTTGAGGTCTACCCACTATCCTTCAATCGGAGCCAATCAGAGATCGGTGTTCTGACGTCACAACCCCTGCAAAAGAAGCAAACTTTTGCTTTGCATAGATAAATAGGAAAGGCTGTATGCAAATGTTGCGATAGATGGCTGCAGCAGGACTGCAGTCGACATGTATTTTCATACCCTAGAGCTTGTTTAATGCACTTTATATTTCTAAGGAACGATGGTATTGTCGATTTACGAAATCGAGGTAGTTGAAGTTTGTGCAGTCAGCCCCGAATGTAAGTTGGCAGCTGTTGCTCTCACATGCAAAGAAAAAAAAAAAAAAATATGAAGTGTGAATACTGCTGTTATGTTGGGCGACTATGGGTTCTGGAAAATAAATATATTTTTCAAACGTTTTATTTCCTTCGCCAGTCATCACCGAGGGCCAGTTGTTGCTTCAGATGCCATTTTTTTCTCCTGAAAGCGAAAATACTAAAGTTTTGTTTGAGTTATTTCACGAGTATTTCTGTAAAGAGTTTGCCAAGGTTGTTCTCCTACGACAATGCAAGCCCTTTGCAGAAATTTTGTATGAAGCAGCAAAGTAGACAGTGGGATCCCAAAAAGGAAGCTGGCATTAGGGAATCCGACTCATTTCTTTCCCATGCCATCGTCTCGATGGAGTATCGTCGTAAATTACCCGTAGCAGCTCAAGGTGGCTTTCGGCTGCGGTAGTTTTTTTTTTTTTTTCATTTTCTACTTCGGAGGCGTGCAGCTTCATCTCACACTATCTCCCGCAAAGCGACTGAAGCACAACGAATCAAGGTGACCAATCTCCCTCTCTTGCCCACCGATCTGGGCGCTACGATCGCACTTCTTTAAAAGCAACCCGTCCATTTGAAAAAAATCTGGGTTCATGTAAACAAGAACCAATACTACCAGTCCTGTGCAAGGAGGAAAGTTACCAGTTAACTACTATCTTTATGTTGGGTGCATCCAGCGGTGTTAGATTGCTGGCAGCACAGGCCAGCATCATATCAGAATAAGCAACAACAAGTCGCAAATGAACCTAAGCAACGAGCGGTGCAAAAATATGATTTATCATCCTATTTATTTTTTCCCCGATTTGTCACAAAAATTTGCAACATGCCAACTATGCTCTGCTCACCCCCGAGCTGGCAGTGCATTGGAAGCAGGCAAGCTACACGCTTGCCGGACCAATCACCCGACCCCACGCCACGCAAGAGTATGGCCAGGAGTCTGATCCACTGCACTGTCAACTTGGGGGGTGAAGGGAGTATAAGCCTATTTCCAAACACGAGCGCATTCAAGAAAAAGTTGGAACAAAGCGACAGTTTTAATAAAGGCACCCAGGACAGCAGGCGACTGAAATGCTGTCTTAAGAAAGCACACCAAACTAGTAGGAAGGAATTTAATGGAATGAAAAAAATACTGGAAACCAAAAGGATGTCAGATGCTTTACTCTGTTCACCCGTAAGCCAAGACTATAGGGGCAGTTACGTGCCCGTCGGACCAATCGGCCGCCTCCCTCTTCACCTGACCCGGCTCTCTGCAATTGGGTATGAGCGGCAGCACGACACCGCCTCAAAAGAGACGTACAACTGATGCCACAAGGACGTAGCTTCCACCACAGTCTCAGCTTAGGGGTGAACGGGGTTTAGGGGGAATGCGGGACTCTCCTCATTTGCATGATAGAGCGACGTCCGCACCGAATCCTGCCCTGGTGGAGTTGTCTATTTGACGCCGCCTCTCCCCCCACCCCATCCCCTTGCCACCAGAGCACATGACCAGGCGATGCCTTGGAATGCTGCACTGTTGACGGGGTTGCGGATGCAAAGAGAGCACCACTGACGCCGTCATGCTTGTTTCCGTGGTTCTTCGTTGTCATCTCTTTCTACATATTCTCAGGGAGTGACATGTCTTCCCCCTAGTAAAGTATTTGAGGACGTGCACTGCCATTTCTTTAAAGAGTCGTCATCTTTTTGAACTGCTAAGAAGCACACATTGCATCACGAATGTTTCCTCGAACCATCCATTTAATGTCCTATAAATGGTGCAGGTCAGCTGGCTTGTTCCCAGTTTGGAGCTCGAGGTAGGTGGATTAAGGGATTAAGAGAGTGGGAGAATGAAAAGATCATAATAAAAGCACACATACAAACACAGCCAGACCAAAACATCTAAACATTCCACCACCTGCCAAGCTGACAAATGATGGCGGCAGGAGCTCTGTCAAGCTGCCTCGTTGCAGCTTATTCCCCGTCACTCCCATTTTGTACTCTGGGTGTAACCTAAGTTGAATTGTTTAGACAACCCGCACAGCGTACACTATCCAGGAACCATCGGCGATTCGGTGGAGAGGTGTGTTAGCACACTGCAGTTAGGAGCAGGTGGAGCAAACACCCGCACTGCAGAACCCAAGCGTCCCGAGCTCAATTCCAACTCCTGCCCATTTTGATCTGAATTGGCAAGTGTTTGTGTATCACAACTGCATGATACATGTTGAAGACCCCAAGTTGGCAGTCACACACGCACTGGCTAAATTTCTCATCTACAGCGGAGATGTCGGACGACTCTTGGGGCAGACTAAGTTCCCGCTGCCTAAACTTCTATAAAACAAATTATTTTTCATATCATAAACACCTGAAGTAAAGCATTTTAGACATTCTCTTCGATGTTGCACGTTCCTGGCAACACGGTTAACTACCAGTAATCACAGTCCGGCATTTTAGGAACAACGATGCGAGCTGGCCCGTGATTTGGTCAACTGCTAAACGAGATCTGGTCACCTCGTTTTCGGACAGCTTGTAGTAGAACCAAGTTCAACGTCATAAAACACAAACAGTATAAAAGACAAGGGTGAGTAGAGTAAATTAAATGGCGACAAGACCGACCACTTCAACGTGTTGCCCCCGAGGTTGGCCTAGGCCCTTCTCGGTCTATCTGCAAGTTCACACAAGGATAACAACGTCCGTCTGAGACCCGTCTGAGTACCCTGTCACACGCCACCATCTACGGCGCCTTCCTCTTCGTAATCATCGCCCTCTTCGTCGTCATCTTCCGGATTGATCAGCATGTCTTCGACCAGGGCGTCAAAGGGCTCCTGCGAAAACCTCGGTCTCGTGTGTTCCCGATGCAACAGCGAGGCCTCGTGAACTTCGGGCACCAAGACCAGACCACCGCAGTCGCTGCAGTAGACCGAATCCTCGTCCGGTTTCATGTGAGCCGATTCAGACAGTTCGCTCATCACGGACATGGTGAAGCCGCGGAAGATCCATGGGACCTTGTCGTCGGGCATGCCTCTTGTCACCCTTCGCTGGTTGGACCACATCTGACGCGAGAAGTAGCACCGCGGTGGATCTGTGCCGTGTTGGAAGGTCCAGCATGCGACGCTAAGGCGGCTGAGGTTCGCTTTCACGTTCTTGGAACTTTTCGGCTTGTTCGAGTGAATCTGTTGACCGTGCTGACGGTGACCCTGCGACTGGGATGCTTGTAGCTGCGGGCTTTGGGAGTACGAAGGCGCGGCGTACGGAGTGTTGTACGGATGGCTGAACGACAGGTCCCTGCGCTTCGAGCCGCGTGATTTGGGCATGGCTTCAGGATCGTCCCGTAGGTCCCGCGTAGTTCTGTGCCTTTTCACTTTACGTTACACGAACGGACGCCATCGCATAAGGCCATCAGGAGAAGTTCAAACACTCACGTAGCTAATTCAGTGGCTCTACTCACCAACAAACACCGTCCCACACGCAACGGACGTTTCTGATGCTTCGTCGGCTTTCTTTGTTGTGGATCGTGTGATCGTATCGGCGCGGGCGGTAGCGGCAGCAGCAGGCAGCAGCGCTTGTTTTGTATTTAATATTTAATTGGTTGAAATGGGTGGAGGGAGAGCGGCTGTTCAGAGCCGTATATGTAGAGAGTTTGGCCATTTGTTGGGAAGTATAGGAGACAAATGAAGCGGCGCCATTGGCCGAAAGCGGGCTGGGCGTGTTCCAGGCCGTCTTCAGAAATTCGAATGTGACCAACCAGAAGCCGGAAATAATACCCTGGCGGTGGTCGCGAGAAACAAACCTGATAACTGCATTGGAGTAACTCTTGATGGCTGAAAATATGGTACACGTGATGTTTCAGTCACACTAATCTAAAATGATGGTGGAAGAGTGCGACTAGCGGAAAGATCGACATAATAGGGAGTTTTAGTAGACCGTGTTTCCCCCTCCGCTAGCCCTCCGCTACGAAGAAACCGCCACTGCGCCTGCGCGCCGATGGCCTTGACTGTAGAGTTCCGGGTAGCGGAGGGGCTTAGCGGAGCGGGAAATACGGTCTACTAAAACCATGGAGAATAGAAGGGTAGGAGAGGGCATGACGTCGGCCGCGTAGCCTCCACAAGCCATGCTCCCTTGACGCCTCGCCTCTTTCTCATTTTCCTCTTTACTCTCCTCACTTACCATGCCAACGTGACCACATCACGTGACCGTAGCTAGCCTTCGTCTTGCTATGGGGTACTAGAGTACACTAGAGCACTATATAGCTCCTTCGGAGCAGAGTAGCGCAATCTAGAACGCCGCCTCTCGGCGACTAGCGGCGAACACCCGGAGGTTCCAACTGCGGTCAGAAATGCATGGAGAACGTGAGAAAATCGTTGTTTCTTCAGTATTGCGGGAATATACGGAATGGCAATCGTTTGTGACATAATAATGGAACATTTTAGAATAATTTGCGCTAAGATTTGTGACCCGCAAGAACCTGACTTTTTTTTAAAAAATTGCTTGAGCGGCATCATGCAGCAGACGACACGGCGACGTCACACCATTCACGTGACTCGCTCCGGCCAACCCGAAAAGCCCATCTCCGCTGCGAGCAAAAATCGTCTGCTTCAAACGCCATTGCCTTGGAAATTGCCTTCTCAAAATTTGCACACGCATCCGATATTATTAAAACTTTGACAAAGTGTTTAGTGCTTTACTAACTTCACGACAGACTAGTTTTGAAAAGTGTGAACTCGCCGTTCATTTTTTAATCAGCCGTGTTGTATCGATCTCCATGTATTCTCCCATAGGGCGGGCCGCCTCTTGGAACCCTGAGAACCACGTGACTCGCGCCGAGCCGCTCTGTCGGCCATCTTGTCGGCAAAACACGAGGTTCAAAGGATTGCGCTACTCTGCTCCGTAGGAGCTATATAGTGCTCTAGAGTACACCACAGTGTAGCCTTCGATCTGATAAAACCTACCGGACGGAGCGCGCGCAAGCCTGCAAGGAGTCCTTCTACAAGCAACCATCCATCTCACACGTGACATGTCACGCGCACCAATCGCCAAAGAGATCTGCGGTCACGCTGGGCACAAAATCGTTTAAACTTTTTATGACTAGGCTTCACCAATATTGCAACGTGCCCCCTCCTAGTACTTCTAACCTCCTTGACTAAAACTCGCTAATCCTTACGCCAAACGCCGAGCGCCGGGAATCTGCCGTCAGAGCTCAGAGCGGTCACACCAACCGGCGGACTCTTCCTATACCTCCCATTGGGACTCCAATTGCAGACGGCAGCGCCAAATCTCCCCTAACGGGCGTTGGGTTTCTCCAAAAGAAATAAGAAATAGACAAAACAATACGCGCACCGTCGTCATGGCAACCGCTTGGTTATGGGAGAGGGTGAGAGAAGTGTGTTCTCTCCTCTCCCTCTCTCTCACCCTCGGCGACAAAAAGATGCGAGTTCGTTCGGAGTTCGGACAGTTCGGAGCAGCCTCCGAACTCCGAACGAATTTGCATCTTATTGTTGCTGATGTTGAGAGAAGAGGGAACTGCTCCCATTGCCGCCGTCTCGTTCTTCTACAATACAATGTAATCTTTTTTAGAACAAAAAAAGTGTTTACCTTCTTTTGCGAATGTCCGACGCTTCCGAAACAATTGCACTTGACTTCGCCTCGCTCGATTGAGATCGGCTTAGCAACAGTGCATGTTCAGTGATAAAATCGTGAATGAATGAATGCAAAGCACGCCCAGCCGCTGCTGTTTAGCGGCTTAAGATGGGCGCACATCGCCAGTCTGAGCACAAGTCCAAACTTCTTTTGCAAGTTCTCTTTTTATTAGGCACGCTCGTTATACAAAGAAGAAGAAAAAAAAAAAAGTTCACTGCACAGCACAACAAAGTAACAAAATCTACACGAAACTACTATTCAAGTATTCACAGACCTGCAATCACACATTTAACTTTGCGGTAGTTAGCGACAGTGATTCGATCGCCGGGGTTTCTCGCAGGTTCCTTTTGCAGCGAGCTGCTCCACGCACGAGCTACCGAGCTGCGGTGCTCTAACACCGATACCGCCCACACCGCCCATTTTAAGATACATGCACTGTCCCTTGTGACCTTTTACAATAACTCTTCCATAAAGAAACATGCACCAGCAAGTTTTCGGCAATCCGAAACTGTATAACCAAAAGTATAGCAGCCCGTCTTTACCTTTCGTCACTCGATCGGCAACCCAAAGAACTTGGCAGAGCTGTTGCCACTGGAATTAGAGCACCACTGAGTCGAGCAATGAACAAGGTTTCGTTTGCTCTGTGTACTGGTAGCAGAAATAGACCGATAACCAATAGGTCAACGCTACTGCCCGCTGCCGCAAACGAAAACCACCACCGCACCGCTGGCACAGGCGCCGCCGAGCAGCCGATGCATCCGCGAGCGCGGCAGCCGACGCGCAACTGTTCTCAACGGTCAAAATACAAAAAACAACCGGCCAATGAGAGCAAAGTATGAGGGCGAAACTTTAGCTAACCAAGATATTTGTTTCATCTCACCAGGATAATTTTTGAAATTTGTAAGTAGCAACAATAATATGTATCTCAACTTTCCGGCGTAAACCGGAAAGACTTAATAGAATACCAACGGATAAGAGATGGCGCTGAAATAGCAAACCGGAAGACGCTCGATGTGTCCGCCGGTTGGTCACACTCTGTCCGCGCAAAACAAAGTTGAGCGGCGCATTCGTTTCTTACATCTTTCTGCATGATCATAATGAAACAACACGTGTACCCTATTTTCAACCACAAAGAGTTACTACACTTCACTCTTACGCACTTATTAAAACCATATACGAACATAGACCTTCGATGATCGATCGGCTCAGAACTGTTTCTCGCTACCACCGCTAGGGGATTCTTTTCGGCACATATACGGCTCTGCGGCTGTTCCCATACTCCATAAAATCTGGTTGATAGCGAGCGCCCTCTCTTTTCTGTAGAATAAAGAAGTGCCTTCGCTCAGGAATCTTTTTCTGTTATCACAAGTTTTCCAATGCAATCTACAAGGAACAAAAAAGAGAAACTTACCAAATAAGCTTATTTTTCATCTAAGCTCTCATCCACCTTCCAATTTAAAAAAAAAAAAAAAGTTGCAGTCATGTCATCAAAAATTTTTTTTTCCCGACATGGCATATGCTTGGTGCAAGGACCACCCTTAAATTTTTGAAGTCCTATTACACAGACTACAGAACATTCTTGTATTTAGTCGGCATGCTACATTCAGTTCCTAGACAATCTTGCTTTGTTACTGACAATCCATAAACGTTTAGGTTGAGTTTATACCATACTATTTTGTTTCTCCCAAATGGATGATTCAGGTCATCTGCAGATTTTTGTACTCCATTTCACTTTAAGATAGACTGCAGCAGACACCATAAGCCATCCCAGCAAATCCAGTCCTGTGCAAGTATAAAGCAACTATCTCCCCAGTGTATGGCTACACACGTCCCAAAGATAATGCGACACTCGCAAGGCATCGCATTGACTTTGATGGTTGTAGCGTCCTCTACAGTCCATCGTAAAGCAGGGCAAGTATACAAAATGTGCAAAAAGAACAGCAAAAAAATAAGCAGAGAGTGTCCCTTTTATTCGGATAGGAGTTAATCTCCCTGGTCAGGGTCAGCTGGGAGCTGTGGGCTTTCGGAAGCGAGCCTGGATCCAGACCCTGAACATCTGGAGAAGCTTGCCACGGTTCACCTGGAGCCTCCGATCGAGGTGGTTCATCTCTTCCACAAAGCCCCTCTTCTCAAACATTGCAGTCAGCTCCTCTGCACGACACAGAACATCATTAGTATCAACAATGTGTGTAATCAGCAGAGCCCAACATAAAACGTAAAACTTGGTGTTAGAGAGCGTAAAGTTAGTCAGCTCTAGTGAACATACAATGTCTCTGCCAGGGATGGGCAGAATACATACAAGAATGTATCGAAATAGAAATACAAAATACTTCGTCAAAAATGTATTTAATTACAAATCTAATTACATTTCCAAAAAGCATTTAAGTACAAGATACAAATACAACCAAATGTATTTGGTCCCCTCCAAATACTTTTCCACATATATTCCTCAAGATTTGCGTCAGCGACTTCAGGGCACCTGCAACGGGTTTCTGGGTATCTCATTTTAATTTTGCATCGCACACTCAGGAGTTAGTGTGCGAGGCCCTAGTAACGTAATAGAAATATAATAAAAAAAATGTAATCAGCTTAGACGTAATAGGTGAAAATATTACAGAGCTTCAAGCAGCTTTTTTTGTCAATTACATTTTGGTATAGACCAACAAAGAACCGAGACGACTAAGACGCGCAGCACAAGCTAGAGAATTTTTTATTGTTGCAACTCGCACCAGTTGCGAAAATCTAGACGACCCGCACATTTAGAATGTTCCAGACAAAAATATGGATGGAAATCAGGCTGGAAAGCATCACAAGCTGTCACAGCCACTTATTTAGCCAGTCTGCCTGTGAACGTCGATTTCGTCGTTATTCTTGCCCTGGACTAGCACCGTAATCACAGAGTCACTAAACGCTTGTGCTTGATTGAGAGACACTGCATTCTGTGCAGAATGTAGTTTTCTTCCTGCTCTGGACAGTGACAATAAATTTGAGGGATGTATTTTCGCCCACAAAATTGTATTTAATTACAATTGTATTTAAAATACCCACATTTTAGTATTTAAATACAAATGCAAAATACACAAAGTATTTGAAATACTGCCCATCCCTGGTCTCCGCTATAGATAAGAAATTTAGCCAGTGTAGTACCGTTGCTGGCATGGGGTTTTTATTGTACATTATGCAGTAGAGATACACGACCGCACGCTCGTTTGGCACCACAGGATTCTTTAGAAATTGAAATATGGGGGTGTGCCTAAATTTTTAGGGGAGTGTAGGGGGGGGTGCACTGAGAATAGAGGAGTCGTTGCAAATTAAGGGGGTGCCTTCAGAAAAACAAGGGGGGGGGGGGGGTGTGTACACCCCCCTAGGGAGTGTAGGGAAATCAATATCCGACACGGTACCCATCCAGCTTGGAACGGGCAGGGGTGGAATTCATTGTGGTGGTCCCACCCGACAACCAATACAGGGCTGTCTACTGCAAGTCTATTCATTATAGATTTCCGAATTTTCCATATTTAAACAAGATTCGGTCAAAAATATATGGAAGTGCCAGCAGCAGATGCAAATTTCTTGGAAGGTGGACTGGCAACATCCAAAGCACTCTTGGAAAGAGACACGGGAATATAGTAAGCTAACAATCAAAGGGGCTTTCCCCCAGTTCACTCTAAAAAAAAGCCTGTGCATCTACTTTCCCGCACCATACTCGGAGAGCCAATCACCGCAACTTACGGAGGCAGCTCAGCGAATGACGATGCCGAAACATGTTTCAGACCACAGGTTTAGACCAAAGAACCCAGTCAGTTGTGACATTAAGCAATGCAAAACGTCACAACTCAGACTGCACTGAGGGGGTAACAGATTTGGCGGGGCCCTGGGCTTTGCTGGCAGGGATGGAAGGACAGAAGAGAAAAGGATTACAGTCACAAAGAGGCAATTAGAAGATTGGTGGAATGAAGGATCCACAACTAGCTAACACAGCTGGGTACAGGTGGGACTGCGGAAAATTGGGACTCCCTCCCGTGTGGTTCTGGCCCAAAGTCTCAACCCTGTCTCTCAGTGGGTCCAGTGCTGGGGTAACTCCGAGTAGGTTCGACCAGAAGAAAATTGGCGACTCCCTCGCCGGGGGGATGAGGCGGGGTGTGATGTTTTTAGTTTTTTTTGCTTGATCTGCCAAAGGTTATCCTGGTGATATCTCCCACTACCTGGCGATAGCTTGGATGAGAAAATGGCTAGGGCAGGCTAGGTGGCCCATCACAAAGGGTACATATTTTAGGCCTAACTCAAATCAAGTAATAAAAACATAGAGATCTCACAAACATGCATAGGAAGAGCTGTTGTATTAAAATTCTCCTCTCAAAGAGACCAGTCTTAGCTAAGACTCTAAAAGAAAGCCTGCCAAGCTTGAGGCATACGAGCGATTGGGACTAAACTTTACACGCCACTCTGGTTGTGCGCTAGCTTTGGCAGTGCTTTCAAGCACAGTCTTAGCTAAGATGCTGTTCACAGCAAGCCAACATAAAACTCCCTTAAATAGTTGAGACACCTTCAACCCAAGAAGGATGTCTTGCACAAGTTCTCTGGACGACTTCTTTCGAGCCACCTGGAAAATGTCACTCCAGTGTCTCATTGCTGCCCTGGATTGCCAGCGAGGCAAACACGTATTTGTCATGCTTGAGAGATGCTCAGAGCATGTGTTGTCAAGTCCCAAAAATCTTTTCCGGTCCAAGGTGCTTGCTCACCCATCACCGGGTGTCAAAACGAATGTCATTATACCGGTCCTAGACATCCTCTAAAGGTTCAATAGTAGCCCTTCAAATCATGTCGCAAGTACACCTTAAGGATGACAAGTCAAATCAACTGACAACCATGCGAAGGCCCTTCAACAATGCCTTCGGGTTTACTTACCCATACCAGAACGTCCCTGGGCTATCCTAGGGATGCGATTCCATTTTCTGGAGCATGGCAGTTTTTGCATTTGTTACCCACAGATAAAATCCCCCCAGCAGCCACACAAATATGTGGATGAAAGCTTGGCGGCAGCTCATACAGACCAGGTGACAAAGCTTGGCTAGACAGGTGGCGCCACCTCATCTTGTAACCGAGACGGTCCGCAAATATTGGACATGTGCTCGAACTGTCCAGTGCTTGCACTGAGCGAAACAAAGTATGGCAGCCAACCGAGGCACCTCCTTTTCGCTGCCCTGGGGCTATTTCAAAGCATGCCTAAGGACAGAGTTCCAAGGTGGAACACATCCCACAGAGCTTTTGGCACTCAGTAAACAGACTGCACATCATGTGTCAGTGAAGACTGGGAAGGAAAAGCTGTCAACCGAGGATGCGGCGACAATTTGGCCCCATCCCTCTGCACACCTGTGGAAAAAGGGAACTGTCCCTCTTCGCTGTTAAGAGGTAGGTGTAACGTTGAGAGTTCTCTATTCCAACTTTAGCGCCCCTCAACTACCAAACACACAGTCTCCATGGGCGTCTACGTAACTTTTCTTCAAAGCGGGTGGGGGCAAACACTTTTTCTGGGGGGAGGAGATAGGGGTATGCAATTGTATTTTTCTTTGACGCGAGAAACCCAGAGTTGTTATTCTGCTCCCAGCGACAGAAATAAGAGTCTGACAGTCATTTCGACACTGCTAGTTTTAAGAACGTGACAGCTTCAAGCTTTTGCCGTGCTTGTTACACATACGATTGAGCTTTTCCTTCACATTTAATAATTCTAGTCATGCCACCACGACTAGGAAGCGTAGAGCCGCAGTCACAGACTGCACATATACATCGTACAAGAGACACGGTATTCGCTGCAGACACGACGACATAGGTGTTCACAGAACACGCCTTCACCATCTTCGAAGCACGTGTTTCATGCAATGCTTCGAATGTGTCAGCAGCTGGCCATTGTGGGACCAGCCTGACGAGACTGTTGTACAAGGAAGAACCACGCCACGGGCAGCGTCTGCAGACAGTCTTTTGTACGACGTATTTGCACTGTGACCGCGGCCTGCGCCACCGAAACAATGCCGAAGGTGGGGGGTGTTTCGGTGCAACTCCACTCTTGTAAGCACACCGCAGGGAATGCAAGACAGAGCTCTTTCGCAGAGCCTTCTGCAAACTGCCACTTTTGTCTACTGGGCTGTGGAGCGCTCTCCAGGCAAGCGCAGCAGATCGATTCTGCGAAAGTTTCGTACGCCCAGTGAACCAGCATTTTTTCGCATGGGCGATACGCACTGGGAAAGACCCTTCCTCCGATCAGAGTAGGAAACCGCAATGGCGGCCACCCACCCGATCGAGAGGAAGCCCAACGGAAGGGGAGGTAAACATCACCGATTATGAATCGCCATCTCCGCCTCCAGAGCCGTCGCCATCCTCTTCGTCCACCGCCGCCGCGCAAGGATTGCCGAGCATGTCCTCAACGAGTGTGTCGAACGGCTCCTTCGAGAAGTCGGGCCGAAGGCGGCTTTGGTGCAACCGCGACTCCTCGTGCCGTTCTTGTACGATCACCAGACCGCCGCAGACCTTGCAGTAGACTGCGTCTTCGGCGGGTTCCACGCAAGCGCCCTCGGCAAGACGGTCCATGACCGTCACCGTCCTCCCCCGAAAAAGCGTGGGAATCTTGTCGTCCGGTAGGCCCCTGACGACCCTGCGCTGCTTCGGCCACTTCGTGTTCGAAAAGAAGCAGTGCGGTTCCTCCGTGCCGTGTTGGAAAGTCCAACAGGCCACAGACTTTGTTTCGACGGGGGCTTTGGGCGGCTCCGTTTGATGACCCACGTTCGGCTTGGCGTGTTTTTCCAGCCAGCGTTGGCGACGATTCGGAACGTTCCCGGCGGGTTCGTGGTGTCTATTTGAACGTTGGTATTTGGGTAGGGGCTCGTAGTTAGACTCCGGCACTGTGCAAGGGCCTTCGGTGTAGTGGTAGTGTTTTCCGTAATCATCCTGACTCTGGTTGACGTGTTGCTGATAGGCCTGAAGGGCCAATTGCAGGTATAGTGGCGCTTTGTTATACGTCTCCGACATCGGCGCTTCGTGGAAGCGAGGAAATCGAGAACGCCAGTAAAACGACGGAACTGTCGAACCAAAATGCTGCGTCAGCCCGAGTGAAGCGATGAACCACGGCTCCCTTGCGTGCTTTGGCGGTCCAGCGGTTACTTCCTTTGTCAAGCGACTGGATTTGGATTTGGATTTGGATTTAGTGGCGTCCCTTTGTAACGGGTGGCCGCTCGCCGGAAGTTCCGGCGATGGCCTGCCAAAAAGAAAAAAAGGCTTGCTTAGTCTGGTTTCTAGCCAAGTCTAGCCGAGTTCTTGTTGTGGTGGAGCTTCGGTCGGGTCCTCGGTGTGGGGCAGGTCGACTTGGGCGGAAAACATCGGCTGTCCGGCTTGCGCTTGCACGTCCGGCCCAGCTCGCCTCTCCCTCTTCCACAGCCGCCAGGAAATCTCCCACCACTGCTCTAGTCGGCGCTTGGTGGTCTCGACGTGTTCCTCGCCGTCATCCCCCCGCTCCGCCGTCCGGAAGCCCAGCGCGTCCGGCAGATGGTCCACCTGGGGGCACGGGCTGAGGGCCTTGCACTGCAGCACCAGATGTTCGGTTGCCTCCTCTGCTGCTCCGCAGGCGACGCAGGCGATTGGGGCCCCAGCGTCATATCGCGATCTCCACAGCCTGGTCTTGAGGGTCCCCGTTCGTGCCTCGAAAAGCAAGCCGCTGCCCCTGGAGTCATCATACAGCTGCTCCCGCTCGATCGCCCGCTTCGAGGCCGCATACACAGTCATTGATGGTTTTCGTGTGGCCGACTCCGTCCACCTTCGCGTCTCGACCTGCCGCACGTGCTTCTTGAGGTCCGCAACTCCCTCTCGGAGCGGCCGGCCGTCCAGCAGGGTCGGTGGTACCTCATACTTCCCCGCGAGCCTGGCCACCCGTTTGGTCAGGCGCGTGTTTAAACTCCTGTACACGAGGTACTTAAACACCCTCCTGGCCCATCGCTCCTCTCCGAGGCCGCAAAGACGCCTCTCGTAAGACAGCTTAGCCACCGCTTCCCTCGACTCAAAAGCAGACCATCCGAGGTCCCCCTGCACCCCTTCGTTTGGAGTCCCCCTGTGTGCCCCGAGTGCCATCCGTCCCGCCTCCCGCTGTCTAACCTCTAGGAACTCCCGAGTCTGAGACGACGTGCACAGTACCCGATTTGCAAAAGTCAGTCCGGGCACCATCACCATCTTCCACAGGCTACGAGCAACCTCGTAGCGGTCGAAAGCCCACATGGACGTTGCTGCCAGCACTCCCTTTCCCCTCATGGCCTTTGCTCGGACAGCCGATTCATGTGCTTGGATGTAGTTCCTACCCGTGGACAGGTGTACACCCAAGTACTTGTAGTCCGTGACACACTGCACAGTCTCCCCCTGCAGTACAAGCGGTGTGTCCAAAGCCCCCTCTACATTCTCTGTAGGCCCCCACTACAGCACTTTACACTTACGGGAGCTGAACTTTAGGCCCAGTCTGTCCCCTTGTTTTGTGCATATGTCCAGCAGCTGTTGCATCTCTTCACAGGTGCCCGCTGTCAGCACCAGATCATCCGCATAAAATAGTCCTGGAAGATGTTGTCTCACCATTTGCCCATTTTCCATGTAAGACAGGTTGAGGCCTCTCCCACACTCCTCCAGTTCTGTCTCCCATCTAGACACATATAACATGAACAGGAGAGGGGAAAGGGGGCATCCTTGTCGCAAGCCTCTTGTCACTGGGATTGGTTGAGTGTTCATGCCCTCCCATTCCACCACAACCGTTGTGTCCCTGTACAGCTCCTGGAGGAGCTCAAGCACTGAACCTGGCACTCCAATCTGTGTCAGTTCCCACCAGAGCCTTGAGTGGGAGATTGAATCATAGGCCTTTTCAATGTCCAAGAAAGCCGCCCATAGGTGTCTCCCCTCCTGTTGTACAATCTCAATTGCTTGGGTCAGCACATACAGGTTGTCCTCGAGCTGTCGGCCACTCCTGAAGCCGTTCTGGAGTTCGCCCAGTACATGTTTCTGCTCTGCCCAGCCTTGCAGTCTGCGTCTTATGACTTGCATGCCTACCCTGTACATAGTGGAGGTCGCAGTAATGGGCCGGTAGTTTGTCAGGTCTGTCTTCTCTCCCATTCCCTTATATACGAGCTTCACTCTCCCGTGCCTCCAATCTTCAGGTATGTCTCTGCCGTGTAGGACATCTCCAAGTGCACCTTGTAGGGCTTCCTTCATCTTGGGTCCCATTTTCTTCAAGACGCACATCGGCACCCTGTCCGGCCCCATGGCTGTGCCCGCTTGCATGTTCTGAAGGACTCTGTGCATTTCCACTTTCGATGGTTCTTCCAGCAAGTCAGAGTCTTCCGGGGTCTCTTCCCACGTGTTGTTGCTCTGCCTTTGTGCTGACCCTCCTGTGCTAGGTGTAATTTCATATCGTGGGTCCCCTGGGTGTCCCTCCTCTTGGAGCAGTTTGGCCACAGTCTGTGACACCAAGCTGAGACACTCCTCGTCCTTGACGATTTCCAGGGTCAGTGGACTCTTCAGGTGTTGTAATGCTGTTGTTGGCCTTCCTAGGCGTTTCATATGCCTCCAGAATTTCCTGGGTGCTGCTCTTCCGCTTCGCTTTAAGTCCTGCAGTGTATGCCTCCCCACTGCCCTTCTTCTCCTTTGGACCACTTGTTTGCACTTTAGCTTGGCTTCTCTGTACTTCTCCCAAAGTTCCTCTTTCACTTTCCTTTCTCTCGCTGCCCGATGACACCTGCAGGCCTCTTGGCGAATGTTGATGGCTTGTCTGATTTCCGGGTGCCACCAGCTTTTTAATTCCCTCCTCGTTGACATGCCCTTGCCTTTCTTCATCTTCTTAATTTCCATGCTAATGCAATTCACAATGCTCTCATAGGTCATGTCTCTGTTTGCCACCTTTTCTAGCTTACGGGCAATCTCTTCAATCTCGTTCTCTCGTAGAGCTCGCTCCCTTGGCAAGTTACGTGTAGCGCCTGTGGTCCTCGGTCCTCCGAAGATAGCCAAGGTTCTGTTGTGGTCGCTGCCAACACTGACCGCACCCTCCTCGTCGATGGTAACCCTGACCAGTTTTCTACTTATCATCGGGGACATGAGGATGTAGTCGATGCATGACTTTCGGTCTCCGGATACCCAGGTGTACTTTCCCTCACATGTGCTCAGTGTGTTTCCAAGTACCAAGTCATTGGTCTCTATCAAGTCAAGTAGGTACTGCCCGTTTCCATCCCTCCTACCGTCCAATTCCTCAATATGTGCGTTAAAGTCCCCCAGGAGAATTATGTCATCTCCATGGTTCCTCATCTCCTGGACGTCTTCATTCAAGCACTTGGCCATTTCTTTGTTCTTCTCCTTTGATCCTTTCCCTGTCCACCAGTACACCACTGCAACTGCCAGCGGTGTTCCCTTCACTGTGCCCCTCATCCACATATGTTCACAGCACTCCACTTTTGTTCTGGACCATTGTTCATTGTCTCGGAAGAGGACTCCAACTCCACCTCCTTTCCTCATTTCACCTTGCCTGTTACAGCCCTCCCAAACCAGACCTGGGAAAATGGGTGGGCATTCTTTTCCTCGTAGATGAGTCTCCGCCAGCCCAAAGATAGAGATTTCTTCTTTGTCCATCATGGCTGCAACCTCGTTCCACTTTCCTTCTCCCCATCCTCCCTGCATATTTAGGAAAGCCACCTTCGTTCCTTTTCTCGCCACCTTTCTGTTTCGGCGTCTTCGTCTTCGCTCCTGTGACCTCTTCATTTGCCGATCACCCTTTCTCCCTGTGTCGAGGGGAAACCCTATGCTGGCTGGCATCCCAGGACATGCCCCAGTTGGCAGTTTACCATGTGTGCCACCATTGAAAACAGGTGGGGGATAGGAGCTACCTCGGGTCTCCGTTGCACTAGCACTGGTGGCTGGGGCCCCCATTGCTGGGGGTGTGTGGGTTCCAGTAGAGGTGGAGGCGGGAGCCCTACGAAGGGGTTGGCCTGTGGAAAGCTCTGCTCTGCTGGGTGTTGTGGGCGGTGGGTGGGCCACGTTTTCTCCGTCTGTGACATTGCCTCGTTTTGCCGCTGTTCTTGGTCGCCTGGACCGCACCGCTGTGGACGTACCGGTTTTGCAGTTCGTACCCAGCTGGAGTGAAACGTCTGGTTCGGTATCTCCCTGCCTCGTGTTGTTGTCTCCTGGTGCTTGCTCCCTTGACTCTGTTGACTGGTCCGCTGTGTTTGTTTCACACTTCTGCCTCGTCTGCGCGTACCTAAAAAACGACTTATCACCCGGGCTAGGCGGTCTGCTACCTTCCTTCCTCCTTCCTGACTATAGTGCAGTCCATCTCTGGTCATGTCCTCATGGTACAAGTCCTTGCTGAGGTTGATGTATGTTGCCCTCAGCTCTTGGCAGAGGTCTCCCAACTTCACATTCAGTGACATGGCTGCAGCCTGAACCGCCTTTCCCCTAGTTGCAACCTCAGGCACTGCACAGATGGCTAGGACGTCACTTCGTTTCGACCATGTGTTCCTGAGATGGTCCACAATCTCTTCTGGCCTCCTTCCTTGCAGCAAATCCTTGATGCCAACATGGAGCACATATAGTCGGCGTACCTTTCGTGCCTGACTCTCATAATCTTCAATTAGTTTCTAGGCCACCTCTGCTGTTGCCTCCCTGTTGTACAGCACCTCCAGCCGTCGGCTATCGCCTACTTCCCTGTCGAGCACGCGTGCGAAAAGGGGTACGTTGTCGTCTCCGACTACAATCGCCTCTCGCGTCACACCCTGGGGTGGTCGCTGGAAGCCAGTTGTTGCATCACCCTTCTCTTCTGCTCCGTCCACGCGTTTCCGTTTGTCGGTTCGCGCTCCGTCCGAACTCCTCGAGGGCAGCGTACTCTCTAGGCTCTGTTGTCCCGCATCTGTCGTCCTTTCTGCAGCTTTCTCTTGCTCCACATTTGCCGCTGTGTTGACTTGTTGAGTGCTGGTTTCACCAGGTGCCTTCGTTTCTTCTCTGTTGCTCCGCTGGACTTCTAGGTCCAGCGACAGTGTTGTCAGATTGCCGAACCCGAAAGTCCCCACGTGCAGGCCAAAAAGTCCCTCTGTGTCCCTACCCGAGTGTGCAAATGTCCCTATGGTTGTCCCTACAGGTGAAGAAAAAGCCGTATTTTATTTATTTTGCTTATTTGAGCGAGCCTGCCTTCTGCACCTCTCCGTGAGCGCGTTGCAACTGATTAGTTAACTTTTCCCTTTTCTTTTTTTTTTTTTTTTTTTTTTTTTTACAAACACGCGATTGAATTTTGTATTTAGGTCAAAGCTGGAGTTTTGGAATAATTCGCGGGTTCTAATTTTTGCGACGCGGTGATTTTGTTTACATTTTACCGGAATCGTTCGCCCGATTTATTTTTTGCGAATTGTAAGCGGTTCGCGAAAATTAGGTCTTCGCGAAAATTAAGTCGTTTAGAGTATGTAAAAGGACAAAACAAAAAATAGAAGTCAATCCAGGTATTCAGTATAACAAAGAATTTTGTGTTTATTGCATAACATACCACAGTCACTAAAACTTGAATAGCATTTTTAAGAACAGTCACGTTATAAGGTCCCTTCGTTAACAAACATGCTTCTTTAACTATTTAATTATTTCGCCCTTATAGACAGTTCAGGAAGGCGAAGAGCATAACACTGTATAACAACAAAGCACAGATTGACGAGTATATAACCAGTAAAAGGGAAAAACGAAATGTCGGGAAACACCAATAAAAAAGTACATGACGGACATGATTATATTTACAGTTTATGCACGCATACACAAAGGATTAAAATGGCTTGCCAGTCGTAACACAATATAGCACCCTTTGGAAAAGCTGAGGACAATGATACGCGAAATAGTGTCGCCACCGTCTACAATAAAATTTGAAAGGTTGTTTCATGAGATGGGAGAATAAAGTTTTGATGACGAGTTGGTCTGCTTGCGTTACGCCTTATAAATTTCGCTGGTGAACAACTTCATGTGCTTCTTTTCCACCTTGAAATTAGTGCATGTCTCTGACCTTGCAGTCATGCCAGATTTCACGACAAGCACTGCGTTGATGCTGTCCGGAGCAAGGCGGTTTCTTTTCCTCGTCTTCACGTCTGTCAGTAGGGAAAATATTCTTTCCGTTTCAGCATTGGAGTGCGGCACTGTTAGCACCAACTTTGCCAGGCAAGCGATGTTTTCGAATTCAGGCTTGCCTTCGAAGTTTTTTAGCTTGGACATTTCGCCCCAGAATGAAGCGGCGGGCTTTTCTCGCAGAAGTGCCTTCTCGGATTCAGTGAAAAAAGAAGGCAGCATTCGCCATTCCCCTTGCAGAGCATCGGCGCGTGGCAACAAGTGTGTGTACCGCCTTTGCAGGACTGGCAGCACGGGCAGCTGTTTACGAGCTTCGTAGCTCAATGCTGTGCTGGGTTGGACGAATTGTACCTCGTGGTAGAATGGTCCGGAAACTGGGAGCCTTTTCTTCACCTCGAAGACAGCCGTCTGGTAGAACTCCAGACACCGCAGCCTCAGGTGCTTGATATCCGAGCTCCCCCCTTCCATGCTTTGAAGAAGCTCTTGGCAGCTCTCTCCGAGATATACTTCCTCCAGCGGAAGAAGAGAACGCGGATCCATGGGGTTGAGCTTCTCGACATCTTGAATTGCTTCCGGTCGCATGAAATTTTGGCAGAGGCATCGAATGAGCCTCAGGCTTTCTTGCTGCATAACAGCGATGAGGTTCTCTTTGCTCTGAAACAGAGCGTTCATTTTGTTGAAAAATCCCAAGACGTAGGCCATGAACTTCAAATACGCCTCATTAATTGGGTTCATTTCGGCCAAGATCTGCCCTGCAGCTGCAACTCTGTCCTCTACAGACGCTTGCAAGAAAAGCAACTTCAATGTGTCCCATTCCTGAAGGACGCGCTCGACGCATTTTTGCAGTGCCAGCCACCGCGTTTCGCTGGGCCTTAGGATTCTATGCTTCTCTGTTTTAAGGTATTCCTGCAGATCAGCAAGCTGAGCTTGACGCTTGTAACTATGCCCGAAGTAACTCGCGACATTCTTCAGCAGATCTTCAAGATTCCGCGGTAGCTTCATTGCAGCTTTGCTGGCAGCGATGTGTAAAGAGTGGCAGATGCACCTGATGGTCACAAAGCTTCTGTCCGCGTTCGCGCGCAGTCGGGTCATCAAAGAGTTGTGTTCGCCGACCATCACGCTAGCGTTATCGCAAGCCAGTGCGATAATGTTTTTCATTGGAATCTCCTTGTGGTTTAAGCACTGCTCAACAGCAGTTGCGAGGGACCCTGCGGAGCAACTCGTGGCGTCGAGGGGAATAACTTCAAGCAGCTGCGTGATGACATCATCTACAGCATCGCAATAATAACGTACGACGCAGCAGAGGAGCTTTGTGCTCGAGACATCCGTGCCCTCATCGACGAAAAGAGAAAACCGCGTTTCTCTTAGTATGGCGGAAAGGCTCTGCACTTCTGCCTTTGCTAGCACATTTTTTACAATTGATGTGCATTTCGTCTTGTGAAGTCTCACCTGTTCTGCGATTTTAGAATCAGGAAACACCGTTTTCACGAGCTCGCCCATGTGGTCCATCGCTTTGAATGACAGGGAGTGTTCCGTGATAAACGCAGAAAGCTTGATCTCTGCCATCTTCACCTTGTCATCCATGGAGTCTTTTGGCTTTTTCTGGATGAACCCTGTTAGGAGGTGTTGTTTCTGGAGGCCTAACATGGCTTTCTTGTGGCCTTGCCTTTCAGCGTGCTTTTTAAGCTCGCTACTGCCAGCGACCATACTAGCGCTGCAAACTTTGCAGAACGCCCTGAACGGATCCCCAGGGACTGCAGCCAACCAGCCCTGAAATTCCGGCTGCTCAATCCATGCATCACGAAATCTTTGCTTTCTTGACTTCGATGTTGACGAGGAACCCTCACCCGGATCCATCATGTTGAGGAGTCAGTGGAGCAATTGACGCCGGTAGATATTTCCCAAGAGATGGTTAGGAACAAATCTAGAAAGAACAAATATTTAAAAAGTTTAACGTCTTGCTAATCAATGTGACATACGTTTAACGTTCCCCTTTCCGCATGGCCGGATTTAGAACCCTGGGCTAAGGCTGCTTATGAGGCCCCTAATAATGGTGATAATACCGACTATGATAAAGATGGTGGATGGTGGTAACAACAATGACGGCATCATGTATATTTCACCACCTTATATGATATACAAATATCGTTCATTTTATGATACATCTTAGAAGGCTTTTTTTTTATCGGTAGACTTGATGATCAGAAAATTGGTGTTTCACTGGGTGAAAATGAAGCAGATGCGATTGTGCATTAAAGGCTGTTTTGTAAATACTCAATCAACCACTATGAGGTACAAAACGCAACAGCAATGAACAATTGGGGGATATGTTAAGAAGTGTCGCGCACATTGAGGAGGGCCTCGTAAACCTCCGTTGAAAAGTTGAAAATGATGACTGCGTGTTCCTATGGACTTGTTTTACCAGGTTTACAACCTTATTTACGCAGTAAGTGTCTCTGCCGGCTTGCATAAATTCATCATGATGCTACAGAGATGGCACAGATGACCGCCTTCATTTCGAGTGGCATAACTCCATGGGCACAAATTGCATTCGACAGTAACCGAAAGAATACCCGCAAAATTCCCATTACAAAGAAGAAAATTTTTGTTGCCCCTAAATACATGCTTCGCGAGTCGCAACTAGAAAACTGTCCTGAAAATATAACGTTTACACTCTAAAAAAAGGTGTCGTCTTACACCCTTTTGTCCCATATGATGCACCCCAAAACCTCAGTTCGATGTACAGCGCATTAGAGTCGAACAAACGGCCCCAACTTTTACGAGGGGCTTGATAACGCTGCGATATAACTTATGAAATAGCTAAAGTATGTGTCAAAGATCAAAGAGAGAAAACACTGAGGTTTTGCAGCCAGACCGAAAAAACACCGTTTTTTTTTTTTTGTAGTCAGTAGCACGTACATTGGTATTGTAGTACCACACATTGGTAAGTCGTAGCACACGGCTATCAAGCCTCTCGTGAAAGTTAGTGCCGTCAGATCGACGTCAGTGCGCTGTACATTGAAGTTTTGGGGTGTATTATATGAGACAAAGGGGGTAAGGGCTACAGCCTTTTTTTCTGAGAGTGTATATTACAGTGATTGGAGGTTGTCTAACTAGCCTTTAATTGCTTATTGACCTGACCAGTAAAGCAACACAAACATGCAAAGCAATCTTGGTGATTAAAGAAATGGTGAACCGAAATTTGGATTAAAAGAACAAAAAACAATGCAGGAGCTGTAGGCGGGACGCTACAATCCCTACAACACTACTCGTAAGGCGATATCTCGAACGGACGGCCGTATTTTTGGAAAAAGAGGTCGAGATTGAACCAGGCCGGCGAGGCGCGTGACATAAAGATATCTCGTTTCCTCCTCTCTTCGCTTCGATCCCTCAAAGCGGAGAAGACGCGAGGCCGTTCCCTCTCCTTCTCGGAGAAACAAGACGTGAACATACCTGTCAATCAAATGCGCTTCCTTTTTTTTTTTTTAAATATGGCGATCCGCTCGGGATATCGCTGTGTGAGTGATGTTTTGGTGTTTGTAGCACACCAGTTGCACGCTTTTGTCGCGTGCTTTGTGGAATCCAGATTTCGGTTCAGTATTTAGGGCTCAAACCGCTTCACCCTCTTCTAATAACTGCAACTCTTGTGTTCCAAACTAAAAAAAAATCTGCATTCAAAAAAATAAAATAAATATTTGAGACTGAATGTGATTATTTATCAATTAACCACTGTCATTCAGACACATTCACAGGCATTTCTCATGAAGATCGAGGATATATTTTTAAACTCCCCTCCTACGAAAATGTTTCAATTAGTTTTGGAAGTGGCCTTGTTTCTTCTAATTGCAGTAATTAAGAGCTTTTTTTAGCCATTTGGACGTATCACTCCAAGCTACGATAAATAAGACATACCTCAGAGGCTTGTAAAGGGTTGCAGCACTCGATGGCAGGAAAAGTGTTGTCTCGTACTGGCAGATTAGACACAGGCTGCAGAGCAGTTGCTTGTAGTCACTGCTTCTCAAAAACTTTTGGAGGACATCTCAAGAGCCAGCCCCTTGAAACGCCTGTTAGTGGTTAGGAAGGATAGCTTCGGGAGGTTCACCGATATTTATTTTTGCTTGTTTTGAAACTTGTCGTTTCGGAGGAAACTTTCCATAGAGAAGTACACTAAAAGACCAAAAATGAACAAAACATGATGTGTAGCGTATGTTGCTCGTGTAGCCTTCGGCAACCCTCGCTTGCCTTCCAACCCACCATTGTCCGTAAAACGCGTCGAGGGGCACCATAGCATGTACAATAGAGAACTCCGTGACCGCCCTTCCGTCTGGCTTCAATTAGAAGATACTTTAACGGGACCGCCAGCGTCGACAGCTTTGCTCCCTTCCACAAGGAGGATGGGAGGCAACACATTTTGTTGCTCTAGCACAGTCTTTTACAATGGGCTCACAAACACCAGCTCATCTACAGGGAAGAGAATTTTATGGCACCCCTCTTTTCACCAATACAAAAAAAAAAGAACTGGGGAAAAGCGGGGGGGGGGGGGGGGGGGGGGGGGGGGGGGGAGGGGGAGACGACGACACTGAAAGCGGCTTTCAGAGGTCTGAGTTGTTTTGAACTAAAACCAACTTGCCTTTTTTTAGGGCTGGGCAATTATCGATTTTGTAGATTAATCGATTAATGCTTTAATCGCGGCTAAAATTTTTAACCTAATCAGTAAAATTTTGACGAACCAAAATAAAGTAAAAATTAAACGCTTCCACCACGCATACGTGGACAAGCGAGTACACCTGTATGAAGGCAAACTTTAGGTCAAATTTTAGCCTAAAGTAAACTGTACTGGCAAAAATTCTGGCTCCAGACAAGTACAGAAAATTACAGGTGTCCCTGCCACTTCAACGCTATTCGAGTGTCCTTTCAGCGCAGCAGAGACTATTGTGAACGATCAAAGAAGGCTGCTCCTGCTGGAGAATATCAAATAAGCTCTTTTGCCGCATGCAGCTGAACTAATAATCTGCGAGTGGGAGTGTCTGAGTTGTTCTTCAGTATACATATCGAGACCGATTCATAATCCAAGTTGTATATTGTGCCTTATATTACATATTCAGCGAAGGGAAACAAAATATATTAATCTCACATTTTGTAATGTTATGCATAAAAATAAACGAGACCGATTAATTAATCGATTAAAGGGTGCCGATTAATCGAGTGAAACCTTCTAATCAATGCCCAACCCTACATTTTTTTTTTTTTTTTTTTTTTAATTTTCGGGGGTTAGCACGGAGCCCCCTGGCAGCCTGGGGCCCTCGGCTGCAGACCCCTTAGCCCGTACATTAATCCGGGCCCTGCCTTTGCAGGGCCCGACTTGCTCCCAAACCATTCTACAAGTGTGGATGACGGAAAATTTATTTTTGCCAGCTTTTTTAGTTTTTGCGGTAGTGACATATGTAACATACAAAAGACAACATTGATATAAAATGTCGAGAAAAATGACTTATCCGCTTTTATTCAGGGACGGTTCGCTCCACAATTCGTTGGTTGGCGCAATCTGATGCCAGAGGTATTCGCCCAGCTGAGCTCAGCAACACATCGCACGAGGCAGATAAAATAAAGACGATAGGCTCAAACCAAGACAATAATCAAGACGACAGGCGACTTCGCCAGCCGGGCCCCTCAAAGAACGCTTCAGCCGAGGCCAACACTTGGACTACCGTAACTCGAGCGAGCACAAGCGCCACTCGCCATCCCACCTCCCTCCCCCGCCCCACAAAAAAAAAAAAAAAAATTGAAGGTTGTCACACAAAGTCCCTACAAACTCCTCGAAAACTCAAAAACCGTCCCTACGTCCCTACAGCGTAAAAAAAACCGTGAATGTCCCTACGAGTAGGGACATGTCCCTACATCTGACAACACGGCGCAAACCACAGTGCCGCAAGAGCTGTATATCACCCGCAGACAATGGGACATCACGGAATCGGGCGTCGTGTTGCGCCATCTAACGAGAGTAAGGGTCATCACAGAAAAAAGCGAGCTGAAAACAAGATTTGGATGGGGGATCGTCAAGGATAAATCAGGACGTTTTCCAGGTTTTGCTTCTCAACAGTGAAGCTAACCGGCCGTATTGCGCTTCCGCGGCCACGTAATTCGACAGCGGACCATCGCATGATAAACTATTCGTGACTTGCTAAAAAAAAAAAAAACCGGAGGGCAGCAGTACTTGAATCGCTCCGTGCCGGAAAGTCGCATAAGCAAAAATCAGTCTAACACCAACAAGGACAAGCTTGCAACTTAAGGTTATAATTATAATGCAATTAAATGCAAAGGTGCAAGCGAGCTGGATAAGAATAACGAAAATAATCCCTAGAGAAGGGGAACAAGAGGGACAAAGGACAAACCATATAGGAGGCTATGGACAAACACAAATCTCCAAACACAGCTAGGTGACTGCTGCGCAACCGATAGAGCGCTCTGCCTGTAATGGAGAGGTCCCGGGTTCGATACCCGGACCAGGCGGATTTTTTCGGTCGCGCACCAGTCACCTAGCTGGAGATTTGTGTTGGTCCTTTGTCCCCCTTCCCCTTCTCCTGGGATTATTTTCGTCAAGGTGAATTTTCCGGATTGAACTCTACGACTCTGTACAAGTCACCGAAAGCGCATATAAGTAAATCTAAATCCAGGATTTTGCAAAGAATTAATGTTTATCCTTTGACTTCGTACATGAGTGGACCAGAATAGACTTTATGCTCTCAGTACACTGAACAGCAAAAATAGGAGAACATAATAGCGCTTCACGACAGGGACGAAGAGTAGGAACGTTTTTACTGTTCGTCCCTGTCGTGAAGCGCTATTATGTTCTCCAAGTTTCAGTACAACTCGCCCAAGAATCCGCATTACTCAACAAAAATAGGTTTACTGCAGCTCAAATAATTACTTATCCATCATTTGCTTAACAAACAAACATAATTATATATATTTAAATTTCTTTTTAGAAAATGGGCGATGCATGTGACGCCTGCTAGTCCAAGGTGGCCTTAACTATTTTTATCTAAACCCCCCCCCCCCCCCAAAAAAAAAAAAAAAAAAATATATATATATATATATATATATATATATATATATATATATATATATATATATATATATATATATATATATATATATATATATATATATATATATATATTTTTTTTTTTTTTTTTCACAAAAGAGTTTTTTTGGAGAAAATATTCTTGAACAAAATGGACCTGCAGCAGTGATAAGTTAAGAACTTTCCTCAAACATGATCACTGCATTAATCGCAAGTGCAGTTAACATTTATTTTGAAGTGAATAAGAAAATCAGGTTCATATCACATGAGTGAATGACGTTTAAGTGAACAGTGATCATTTGAGCAAATCAACGTTTTAGCAAATGACTGGGGCGGGCGTTAATTCACCCGCCCCCCTGCGTTCACGCCGCTTCGCAACAACAGTCTGCGGTGGCACATTATAAAAATGTTAACTCACCTGGCTCATTGGTAAACGCATGCTTCACGGCGGCAGACCATTCACTAAAGTGTCTTTTAATGAAAAGTCGCCGTTCGCTAAAACGTCGTTTGGTTACCTGAGTGCCACCCAAAAAAATCTGAGAAAAATATGTTAGCTTCCCAGAAGCAGAGGCAGCTTTTCTGTCCTGCCAGGGCACACAGGCACAAAATTTGATATTGTAATGGGCAATGAGGAATGAACAAGAATGAGACAAAGAGAATAATTCTGGATATCCGGTGATGGCCGGATTGTAGCTGTGGCCAGTAGTGACCACAATAATTTGGTACAGTCACCAAAATATAAATACATCAGCGATGCTTAGACATAAAAGTCAGAAATCGCTTGTACGACCCACTGCATGGAGTACTCTGCACACAGAAGCTGCAGACAATGTTGCATTTTTAGACCAGCATCGACTTCCTTCTCTAGGAGGGGGTGCCAACTCCGCCCTGTGTCATCTTCAGAGGTGGCTTTACTGAATGCAAGGAGCTGATGGTTTTCCATACCGACCATGCTTCCAAACCTCCTTCGATCCTGTAGCCTTTTTTTCCAATGCCCAACGAACATTCCTTTTGAGAAAGAAAAGTCTGGAGATGTTTGATGCAAACTCACAAAGCCGTTCCCTACGTCTGTTCACATGGCTTCAGCCTTCAAAAGCGTTGCCTGAGTCAAGACAGTCCAGGAGTTCTACTCCTGTCGACATCAGTCCCTCCATGAAATGGACTCCATTCTCGACTTCTTTGAGCAGCAAAAAAGTGCGAGCATCGCTGGGTTGGACATTCCCACAACGGTGGGAAAGATATTGTTTTCTTTGCACGGGCGCACACTGTTTGAGTTTCTGAACTTGTCGACCACTTTGACGCAAGTGAAAGAAACAAGCTTCGATAGGAACGTCTTCCCTTTGGCCCTCGCGTGTGAGATCCTAACACCTCCTTTATATATAGGGTGTCCCAAGCGATCCTCCCGCCGTAAAACGAGCCGGAAAAACCGGCGCCTGCACATAAAAAGCTAGAACTCTCACCAAACATGCATGGAGCAGGTCAGTTTTACCGCGCGTAATTTCAAGGTGCAGTCCTCTTCCTGTAAAAAATACCAGAGCAAAAAAGACGAGGTTGCGTGTGTTTGCACTTAACCGTTGTCTGCTCGCTGCACCTACCGGGAGGTGGTGCCACAAGTACTAAACGGCATCTCTAACTCGGCGCCACGAGTAACCGGCAAGCCTTTTTCTCTCGTTTTCTACACGAAGGGAACTGCGCCTTGAATTTTCACATGGTAAAACTGACCTGCTCAGTGCATGTTCGGTGAAAGTTTGAGCTTTCCATGTGCAGGCGCCTATCTTTCCCCTCTTTTTACGGCAGAAGGTCCACTTGGGACACATGGTGCTTTATTTTCTGTGTCACCCACTGGAGTGGGTGACAGAGAAAATTGTGGCCAGCGCGAGGCACGGATTGGAACGAATGGTGTGTCGGTGTTCGGCTGGGACTCGCACGCAAAGGAGACGAGTCCTGGCCAAATGTCGACACGTCACTCACGTCCAATCTATGCCACATGCTGGCCTCTAGTAAGTGATGAAGGAAATCCAGCACTATGACCGTTTATCTCACTAGGTGTTCTAGACGCAGCCCCCCCTTTCTCTAAAAAAAAAGAAAGAGTGAAAAGAAAAGGAGAATTAGCTAGCTAGCCTTCAGCTGGGATAGTTGGGCTCCAATAGACAAGTTTACAAGTATGCAGTGCCTCCCGTTGTCTTTTTGACACACTATGGCA